GACAGTAAAAGATGAGATTAAATCTCTGCTCATTGCGAAGCAGTGAAAACCTGAAAAGGCCGCAGCCCGCGGATCCCCCGAACGGAGTGGCTGTCAAGCTAGCGTAGCGGCAATACATGAATGCATGTTTCGGGATACTCTTTGTAGAACTGTGATTATCCAAAAGCTACCTTATAACAACGCTTGGGTATTGTTTACCGGGACTCCATCCGTCCTCGCACTTTGGATCGGCGAGAACCCTGAGATAAAGTTCCGCAATATATATGCTAAGCTTCTTAACCGAATACCGGTCCCAACGGCCGCTGGCAAAAGGCCTGTTGTACATCACTACACGCCTCGCTACCCCAGAATCCGTGTACTTGAACCGTTTGTATTGTTGGTTCTTTCGGGGAGTTCATCAGAGCTAGGGAGGCCTTAGACCCTGACCAAACACAGCTCTACCAACTTACTCCAAAAAACAGACAAAATCTAGCACCCGCTGGCTCGTTTAGGCCGTAGTGGCTGTGGTAATATTTCCAGCCGCCGGATCCAGCTAATGAAAGCCGTTGGCGCCGTTGAGGTTCATCTGTAAAGGCTCCGGAGTTTTCACGGCGAATCCCAAAAACGTAGCAAGCAGACCACATCGATCTTCGAAAGTAGGAGCTGACAAGAGACCAGGGCCGTAACAAACCCCGAAATTTCGGGGGCGGCCGGCGCCAAGAATGTTTCCCTAAGGCGGCCAAAACTTGCAGCGCCGCAGGGAAAATTTTTTGACCCTATGGGGTTTATGACACTAAAAAGTAGTGTTGAAAATGGCTTAATCAAAGGCGCCGTATGGAAAAATTTTTAAAAAATCAGAAGGGTCCCCCATATGAACTTTCGCGGCCCACGGCCGATTCCCCCCCCCCCCCCGTGTGCCCCTACCCACACTGTTACGGGCCTGCAAGAGACGAACCGACCTGAACGCCGCCGATCCAGATCGCGTGTCTAGGGCTCCACTTTCTTCTGCTTCCCTTAAGCATTTCAAACGATCAACCCCTCTTTAAAAGCTAACCTATCATGATGAGCTGATCATCCGCGCTTCTAATTGGCGCCAGATGGCCTCCCAAACCCACGCACTCTTTTTCGGCTTTCCAAAAAGCTTGGCCGTCGAGCAACTAAAGAATTGTCAGTAAAATGTTTAAATGCAAATTTGAAAAACAGGGCGCGCTTACTTTGTGGCAAGTTTTGGTTGTAAACACTTTTTCCCATCCATCCCCGCATTCATCGGCAGGGATATCCTTGTCTTCTACCTTCGGCTAAAACAGAATTTGGCCAATCCTGCAATTGGAGCGACTTTATCCTTGTTATCCCCTCTAGGACATGGCGGACATTGTCCATCACTGCGAAGTCGGCGTCGATCGGTTTCCTAGAGTTGTAAAATTGCCTGGTATTTTTCACCCGGTTAATTATTGTGTTTTTTAATATACGTTCAGGTATCGCGTTACTAGTGCTGCCCATCACCCTGTCAATGCGCAATCGATCACGATATCCAATTCGCGACCAAATAGCTGGTTCGTTGCTTGTCGCGGTGCGAGCTTGTTTTTAGCAAATGCACGCCCAAAAACCCAATCAAGGTTTGGTAGGTAAAACTGACTTTACTCCCCTGAAGTTCCTAAATATTTTTAGCTGTGACTTTTTATTTTACATTAGTTTGAGCTGCAATTAAAACGTCTTAGTAGATTTTTCAGCCCTACCGAATAGTGTGGCCAAAATCTCTACAAAATACCGGAAATGTCGATGGGACGCACGTTTCGGGGGGTAAAGTAAATTCCAGCCCAACAATTCTTGCCCATCCCTTTAAACCAGTCACCCACCTCCATATCGGTGATCTCGCCCCAGCTGGCGCAAATTTGATGCTAAATTTGGTGATGTGTCGTGGTTTAAAGCATGGAAACCTACTTTCTCTGCAATTCCGCGACAGACGACTTCAACCAGCCCCGGGATCGTTCGAACCCAAAAGTCACGATGTTGCACGACGACCTTTTTGTATTCTGGAAAGGAATTACGCATTTAATCGCGATACTAACCATGCCATTGGCCGTTAACGTTAATTTCCGATACACCGGATCGTTCATTTTTGAGTAGATGGGCTGGCGCTTGGTCCTAAACGAATTTTATTATTATTATTTAAAATCGAATATAAATAAATATATTATTTATTTATTATTATTTAAAATGGGCTCGGCAGCAATGAAAGCGTTGGAAATTTTGCTGCCGCACGTTTAGATACGGAATCCAAGCTGAAAAAACTAGTAGTATACATTTAACCTACGGCTCGAATAATAGTGTTGGTATCGTTAGCCGGCACGGCGTATTTGGCGTCCAGACTGAAAACGAGTTTTAAAAGCTTTAATGACGGCGCGATCCGATATTACCATCTTTCCAAACTAACTTTTCACAAGCTGTCATCGCCTCAATGATCGGCAGCTTCACTCCGAGCGAAAATCGGCAGTACCGCCCTTCTGGTATCGATCTCCTCGGGCATACCGCGGCCGAAAGCCCTATTCCGGTACCATTACAAATAAAACCTTTTGCCATACCTGCTAAAGCGAAAATAATCAACGCCCGGCCCAGCATCTTTGACGCGGCCGACGGGAAAATCGAGCTTTATAAACAACACCTATTTTATCGCTTCCGCCGGAAGGTGGCCGCTTATGATTCGGCAGCCTCGACTCTTAAGAATTCAAAAGAGCGCTGTCATTAAAAAAGGAAAATACACGTAAATATTTCCATCCTTTGTAGCCGTGCCAGTGCTCGTTCCATGAGCACATGGCTAGGAACGAGGGTTCTTTAGGATTTCCGGGGAAAGTATTTCCGGGGAAACCAAATTTTTTCCTGTTTTTCCCGGTTGACCTAGTAATCAAATATAAAGTGTTTTCACATTGTTTTTAGTAAATTTTAACTATATTTAAAGTAGAAAACCTTTCAAAAAAGTTAGAAAAATGTTTGAAAAAGTCGAAAATTGGTCATTTTGGGTCTTTCCCCCCCGCTAATCCTAAAGGTTCTATAGGATTTTTGGACCTAAAATTAAATTTTTTAATTAAAATGTGGGTAGTTTTTATGCTCAGGAATAGTTAAAAACCATTTAGAAACGCATGCGCTATTTGGAAAAAAATTTAGGCTTGGGCCGAAAAAATTTGGTTTCCCCCCCCCGGAAATACTTTCCCCCCCCGGAAATCCTAAAGAACCGGAACGAGAAAGGTATTGGAACGTAACCGATATCTAAAATTTTTTTAGTCCGACTCATCGCAAAGTGGAGCTGGGGCAACTGCGAGCCGTTCGACTACGCGACCTCAGGAACCGGATGTGGAGACTGGTACCCGTATTGCTTCAGGGTAGGTATTTTTGATCTGCTAACCACGTGTTTCGATGACATAGTAATACTTGACAGGAACACTAAGATCAATAATACGAAATAGGCGCAATGCCTAACACGAAATCTTTCTACGATTAGGTGTACCCGAAACGCGCGACAACTGGTCCCGCCGTACCGCTGGAGCCAAATGCGACCACAACGACTTTGCCACCATTTGCAAGAAGGTAAGTAGTGTACGCTAGACTGTGCGGGAATTTCTTACTTTCTAACGATCTAACGAGATTCAAACGTGGATTTTTAGAGAGGCATGTGAGCGAATTCACTGCAATGGCAGGAATTCAACGGTTTATGGATAATTTATTTCAAAATAAATCTTTCACTTGAAAATAGGTTTACAAACTCGCAAGTTGTCCAACGTTGATTTTTCGATAAGGGGCCAAGCATCACGTGGCGGCAACGATGGGCGCCTGCAAAAATCAGACTCAGTATCAACATTCTACCTTTCTGCACACCGTCATGTACGGATCTGTACACGTAATGCTCACCCAACGGTGCCAACCGCCGGGGCCCAGAGTATACTTTTCGGCGTTGATCCGAAAACCAGAGTGAAACCCTGAAATGGTTATTCTCTTCATCGGCTTCGATATCTGGGTAAAACCTACCCCAAGACAGTTGAAGTAGTCGGCATTCCCTGCTGGCTTATTATACGACGTCCAGTAGGCGAGGTTCAGGTCGGTCGCGTCTGCCCAGATGTATTCACCGGAAACTCCCTACAAGCCTATGTCATACTCACTCCGATGTCATACCCGCTTGGCTCCCAGGTAAGCCACGGCTGAGACGTTTGGGTGGGCGGTGATTACTTCTGAAACAAAAATGCGCTTATTATTGGGATTAGCTCTTTCTGGTCTTCAAAAATTTTATCCCCTTAAATTGTCAGAATTGTCAGATATCCCCCGATCGATATTATGAACTCCTGTTCTGATTATGTTAGCTCCCGCTGTGTTAGCACCCGCTGTTTAGCAAGGGATTTCTATGCGTGCGCGACCTGACACTCATTTATCTTGTGTCTTATCTCGCGGCTAGCGAGGGATCCGCTAGCCCTCTCCTCACTTTGGACTCCCTGCACATGTAAAATCTGTGCTAGAAGACTAGCTAACACCCTTATGAGTTTTTTATTAAAGTTTTTCTGCCTGTGGCGCTGTTTATTACTGTTTTTAAGACGGTTTTTACTTCTCAGTAACCTATTTTTCCAAAATTTTCGTCAACTCGCAGTCAACTGCAGTCAACTGTCCATAAAATTTTGCCTGCGGCGCTTTTTTCTATGTTGTTTTCACATGAATTTGACTGGAACGAACGCTTTTTCTAAGTTTTTTACCAGCGGCGCTGTTAAAACAGCGATTTTTGAATGTTTTTCGGACGGGCGGTGAATCTTACAAAGGCCCTTTGGTGATGAAAAGCTATCGCGCGCCCCTGTGCCCTAACTACAGTACCCCACCCCACCGAGCCCCCATTACGCCAGCCTATTGCTTTCCTTTCCAAAAACCAAAAGTGAGGAGAAAGAAGCAGAAATCAAAGTAAAAAAATAAGATTACGATGAAATAGCCAATAGCTATCCTTTCCATTTCAGTAACCGAGTAAGATGGAGGCCCCTTGATTAACTTTTATGGTCCTTTTATAGTAAGAGAGGTGGTATTAGCCCTGAATAACTTCTTTCCGGCGCATTTTTGACCAAATGCTACATTTGAGCATTTCTAGGTCGTTTCCGACCCCAAAAAAACTCTTTGGGCGAGGGCTATAAAAGTTCTCATAATAAATGCGCCCAAATCGGGTGCGGTCAGCGATTAGATTGGTTTCATTACCCATTCTGAAATGGGATACCGGTTGTAAGGGGGTGAATGTTTTTGTCTCATAAAAATAATCAGAGCGGCGCCGTCCATGTGATGATTCTAACTGCACTTTTCAACGCTGAGTGTATTGGAAGAGGTCAGCGATGCCCAAGGACCTGAAACCCTCATCCTACTCTTCTTGTTAGCATTGACTTCGTATATTTCAGAATCCGAACTAATTATTGCGCAACTAAAATCGATTCCTAGTTCTACGATGATGCCATGAAAGTAAGAAAAATAAGGTAGAGTAAGTTTATAAGGATTTGGCAAAGCCGCAAGCAACGCGGCTTTTTTCTCCACATCTTCGGCTTCTTCTTTAGGTAGCAAAAACGTTAACCGCTAATATCTATCGTGCCTCAACTTCCGGAAGCAAAATCGAACAACGGACGAAGCTCCATTCCATCCTGCTTCGCGCGTGAGAATGTTGAAAGCGTGATTGGTGTTGTAGGAGCTCTTTAGGCTTTGTAGAGTGCGGAATTATAACCTTATTTCAAGCATAACAATTTTTTACTTTGATTTCTGTTTCTTTCTCCTCACTTTTGGTTTTTGGAAAGGAAAGCAATAGGCTGGCGTAATGGGGCTCGGTGGGGTGGGGTACTGTAGTTAGGGCGCAGGGGCGCGCGATAGCTTTCATCAGCAAGGGGCTTTGTAAGATTCACCGCCCGTGTTTTTCGGAAGGTGGCGACCGTGGGGGAGGTCGAGGAGGTCGACAAAAATTTTTCCAGTTGCACCCCTCCCCAAAAATTGGGCTCGTGATACGCCCGTGTACGATCATTAGGCTTACGACTAATGATCTCATTTTCTTCGAGGCTCATGACGGTTGTGACCTCTGCTCCCCATTCCTTGCAGGTGTGGTCACCGTAAAAATACGTGCCCGCCTCCGGTGTTGCCTAAAACTATCGGCGTTAGAGCTTTTTTGGCAGCGAGGCAACGCGCTCTAAAAACAATAAAGTACCCGATAGCATTGTTGCGTGAAATTCGACGCGGTCCAACCCTCGTCACACGTCGTGGCCACTACTACCGGTGTGTTTCCCTTTTTCGCTATCATCAGCGCTCATTTCGCGTTTGCAAATCGGCAAATATAGCTCCTCGCATGTCGCATCAATTAAAGACTCGCCACTTGCCTGCAACAGGCTGCATTGGCACTTTCGAATGCAGCTGAACCTAAGGGGTGTTGCTCAAAATGCATTACCGCAATCGCTACGCAAAATTGGCCTTCTGCAGAAGGTGCGGTCCACGAGCCGTAGTCCCAATTGAACCAGTCCAGCCATCGGAAGCGCGTAGGAGTGTAGTCGTTACTCGCAAACTGTAAAAATCGTGAAGAAGTTTCTTCTGCCTATGTAAGCTAATTTTGTTGTCGGTTGGTCTTTTTCTCGATCCAGTAAATTTCGGAAAGCAGAAACACAGCGTCAAATGCTGCGCAAGATAGCCTTGGCCTATTCCAAAAGGCTAACCTAAGTAAAAACATTATACAGCAAGCCCAATTCTTTATGCCTAAGCCCATTTAACAACTCCGATTCTGCAGTTCATATACAATCCTGGTTGTGAATGCTTATACAGTGCTAATTTTAAAAATGAGTTTACATAATGCATACCCAAAGTCCGCCGGTCCACACGGGAGTCAGGCCGGCCTCGGATTGTAACCTAAAAATGCCCATACTTTCTTGCGAGCCTTATCTTACTGCTAAGCAATTCTCTTTCCTCGTCGCTAAGCACTGACGTCAGGTAGCCCCTAAGCACCCTGCACGATTGCACGGCCTCGAAAAACGACTGCTTCTCGAGTATCTGAGGCATTACAATAAAGATTCCGATTGTTCTAGGCACTTTGTAGCAGCGCGCCGTCGACGACGCTGCGATCCAATCCTCGTTGCAAAAGCGCCATCCGCTGGCAGAGCCACGTACGGTTGGGCGGCCCCAGATGCTAACAGCATCGCGTTGTGTCTAAAAGACCAACCAGCCTTGAAAACCCGTTTCACTGCGCGCAAATTCGGGGCCGTTCGTAGATTATCAGAACCAGAAGTTTTTGTAGACCCGAACTCCGCAAGAGTAAAGCAAAAGCAAAAAACAAAAAAATATTTTATGCTAACGGAATCGAAACAGAAATTAGCGCGCTTCTGATTCGGCTCAGATTCACTTTTTCAATATTTCGTTGTTAAGACAGCCGAATCATCTAACAAAGAGACCTTTTTTAGGGGTTTCTAGCGTGTCTAAAATTGGCCAAGCCTATTACGGTGAATTTTTGCTAATTAAAAATTGGTTTCGAGAATCTGCGAAACAGCCATAATCAGAAATTCATCAAGCCTGCAAGGGCGATAAACCGCGAAGATGGGCAGTTTTGGGAATTTGTGGCTTTAAGCTTCATGGGTTTTTAAATAGAATCGCTTTGCAGATTCTGAAAACTGCGTTTTGATCAGCAAAAAATTCTGCTCAAAACATGCATGGCCTCATTTGTATCCCCTCCGTGGAAACTCAAAAACGTGGCTTTGTAAGTAAGCCAAGCCAAGCCCAACCTTCTTGCAGATCGTCGCGTGGTTTGTAGCCAAGCAGTCACTGCCTCCAAAGCGATGCACGCGGTTCTTGCATACCGTAACGTCTGATGCACAAAGCTGAAAACTCACTAACTCGACTTCTTTACGATTCGACCATACCCCAAGGCATTCAAAGTATTCGTCCGGAGCCGGGCTTTCCCAAAATCCCACCCGGAACGGTTCGAGATTAATCCAAGGGATCGTTCCTCCAGTTACCATCTGAAATGAAACCTTGCTGCTTGAAACGAACGCCCACCGCACGGCCTCCCAGCCAAAATCGGGTGAGGCTTACGCCGCGTTGCGCCATTTCTAGAGAGGCGACTATGACACTCGCATTAGAAAATTACTGATCAGAAACTCCATTTCATCGAAAGATTCGATGGTCGCGGTGATTGCGTCAAATTTCTTGCAAGTGTCCATAGCTGCTGTCCAGTTTTGTCCGGTTCCCACGATCTTAATGTTAAGACGGAGTAACCATGGAGACTTCCATGAGCGGGAGAGAGAGGAGAGAGAGGGAAGGAGAGTGAGTGAGTGACTGCGAGAAAGTACGAAAGAAAGAGAGAGGAAAATAGAGGGAGGGAGAATGAGAGAGAGAGAGAGAGAGAGAGAGAGAGAAAGAGAGAGCTAGATAGTGGTTTTTACTTTCAGATACGGTGAAAACAAGAAAATAACCAAAAGCTTGGAGAAAGTACAAAAAGCCGTTCATTAATAAAGAACCTTATAGCATTTTTGCGTATGCTTGTAAAGAGTCCAGCCATCATCACAGATCGGGTCTTCGGGTGGTACATACTACAATAAAACCTTGCTTGTCAGAAACAGTCTACAGTAGCGGTCAAAAAGTTATCAAGTCGGGAAAGCGTCTGTATCTCGAAGGTCCTAGCTCGAAATTTTGTGAAAATTTTACTCTAGGTCAATTATGCAACGGGGAATCCGATGCCGACATCAAAATCATGCGAATTTTTTATTTTCATTGTTAAATTGGCAATTTAAAATACTCTACCAAAATCAACCTTTTCTTGAGGCATTTTAGATTTCAAAAACATTGCCATCGGGTTCAGGATGGTGGAAAACCACTATCTATCAATTTTTGAAACATCCATTGGCTCACGGCTTGCTCCTGCCAAGCCTGGAAGTTGCTGTCGCGGAGTCATTTTGGTGCCCCGAACGCCCATTGGGCGCATTTCTGCCCGACGACGAAAAACACGAGAAAGTGGTTTTCGACCATCCTGAACACAATGGCATTATTTTTGGAAGCCAAAAATGCCTCAGGAGAAAGTTGATTTTGGCGGCATTTGTGTAACTGCCAAGTTATGAACTAAAATGGAAAATTCTTAGGATTTTGATGTCGGCACCGAATTCCCCGTTGCCTAGTTGACCTAGAGTAAAATTTTCACTAAATTTAGAGCTAGGACGTTCGAGATGCAGACGCTTTCCCGACCTGATAACTTTTTGACCGCTACGGTATTTATTACCGGCTCGTCTAGCCGCTTGCATACAGCTGGCAAGACCGAGTCGCAAGTCAGGTTATAAAACCACCCATTTTCCTAAAGAAGTTGACGATAACGCCCAAATACGGCTAAAAAATGCACCATTTGTCGGGCAGTGCAATAGGCGTTAGCGGTCCTCCCTTACGCCCTGCACCCAATGCCCGTAAGAGACCGGCTGCCCATCAAGCCAATGAACATCGAAGTCATCGCGGTCTCGGGTCATCTAGGTGTTAATTTTTATTTGCAGGGTTTGGATGGAAAACACCATTTGACCGCCGATCCAAACATTTCCTGTTAGAAGGCCGCTGTTGCTCAACCAGGCTTCAAACAAACGCATTTATATCCTGAAATTTGGATACTTACTCCCGATAATATTATTCTCGGCCTCGTCGCGGATCGACGTCAGGTGGCCGCCCGAATCGACGCATTCCAGCTCCGCGTCCCAATAATTGATGGCAGGAAGCAGCTAGGAGAATGCAGGAGATCACAAAAAAGTGTCCCCTCAAGCGGTGCGCAGTCGTCGCATGCAATTTTGAGGATTTAGGTAGGTATCTATGGGGAGCTTTCGAGGAAACCAGCGTTTTTCTTTTCATCGGTCAAGCGTTTAAATGGTTAAAAACCTGAATAGAGGTGATTTACGCGACAGCAGCCTATTAATTGCCATGATGAAACAGAAAAAAGCGTGTTCTTGCATAGCGTTTCATATCAAAAAATGTGTCAACAACTTGTTTCTGCGGGAAACTGCTTCTGCAAGTTATTTCGGCTTTTTAAGGTTTTTTAATGGTATAGAAACCATTTCAATCCGAGCTTCCTACGGACCATTAGAGGCGGTTTTTTTTGGGAAATCCATTAGATAGCTTTTTATAGATTTGGCCTACCTCATAGCAATAACCTTCGTGTACAAGCCCTGTACAGTCTGGTAACGTGGTCGTAGGTATCGTCGGCGGCGGAGTCGATTCGGTTGGTAACTGACACCATTTTCTTCGCATTCAGTATTTCGGGCTACCTGCAGTGTCAACGTAAATGGCTCATCGCACATCCCAAAGTCCACTCCGGTCTGCTCCGCTTTTTGCTCACCGATCGTCGTATTTACGTGCACAAAATCCGGTTCCGGATCGCCCGCTCCGTAATAACGACATGAGAAATCTAAGCAATAGTGTTCTCCTAAAACCCTAGCAAACCGAGCCCCAAACACTTTTCTCCTTTGTGGGCACAAATTGCAAAGCACGTCCTGTTAGGGGTAGCCCTCACGCCTAGTCCTCGAATAAAGAAATGTTCCTCGCAAATAGTTACAGTAGTAAATGTCAGGATTACGGTAGCCAAGGCTAACATTAGGAATTTGGAATGCACGTCCCTGTTGGAAGAAAAACTTTGAAAATTTCTGCCTTTCTGGTATCCATAGAGCATAATGGACGCCCGCCAAGCTTTCGCGTCTTTGCGAGGAGATGAATAGCCGGAATCTTTCAGCGGGGAAAAATGTTGCGTAGCAGAATGTAGAGACGGATATTGTAGAAGGCTTTCTAATGGTATGAAATGTTAGGTATGGTAAAATAGATTCGGACACATGGTTGCATTCGAGACTGGGTGTCCCAAAACAATCGAACCGTTTGGCATTGCGCCGCGTTCCATCCAATCCGCCCGAAAATTACGGTGGAGGTGTATCAGACCCTAAACAAAAACAATCCTGAATTATAGCCCCATAGCTACCGTCGTTCTAGAGTTATAACGAAAATACTGTTTTTCGGAACTCTAAGCAGTTTTTCGGCTTTTTTGGACTTTGCATCGACTTCCGGCGGCCATTCCTAATATTTCTTAAGGTCTTGGATAACTTTGCGTTGTAAAAATCGCCTAAGTGAACGCTTATTTCAATAATTTTCGTCCGGAAAATTGGCTGAGGATAAGAAGACCCGCCTAATAGTTTTCACTTAATAGTTAGGGGGTTTAATCCAATGGAGACCATATGCAAAACAGAAAGTAAAATTTATTTTCGCTATAACTGTAAAACGGCGATGGCTATTGGGCTATAATCCTTTGTTGTTATTTAGCGTCTGATATACATCCGGCCCAGCTTTGGGACCGACCTTTGTGGTGCCGCTATCTTGCGTATTCCAATTGATTGGCTTTAACGTCAAATTCATTTCAATTTTTAATCCCTTTATGCAATGTCATTCGGAGCTTTTTTACAGACAGCCGCATCCCAGTAGCCCCCGCAGCTCCAATCATTCCACCGCCCATCGTATGGTAGACTGAAATCAATGAAATCACATTAAAAACACGAATAAATGTAGCAAGGAACCGCCAATTTCTACTATGCGCTTACCCGTCGGATGCAGTTGCGAGAGAGTGCAAATACATCTGGAATTCACGATTTTGTGTTACTGTACAGTTGATACCCCTGCACACGGCTCGCTTTTAGGACTATTGGGCTCGCCAATCGACCACGTCGCATAATCCCACGTTGAGCCGTCATCCCAGTAAAATATCCTGTAGTTGTTGAGATCCTGGAAATATCGGATCGTTTCCGGGTGCAGTTTTAAAATGTTACCAGGGTTGAAAAACCGCTTCGCGACTTTTCAAACCTGGCTCGGTCTAGGAACTATGAAAGTGTCGACTTTGCATAATTCTTGCCAAACCCGATCACCAAAAAAAATAAAAACCGCGACTGCAACTTTCGGTCTTCCGACCGGGCCCGACAAGCTCAAATTAACAAAACATCGGAAAAGAGGTTTGCGACCCTTCTAAACACGATGCATACATTTTTAAAAACAGAAAACGCCTCAGAAAAAGTAGAATTTCGCAAATTTTTAAAATGGAAATTTGCGCATCGTAATTTATTTTTTTTTGCGGCTTTCGATATTGCCATCGGATTGCCATTAGAATAATTGACCCAGATGCAAATTTTCATCAAAATTTCGATGTAGCGCGTTCGTACAACAACGTTGCTACAAGGGCTTTCCCGACCGCACATCATTTTGACCGCTACCGTATGTTAAAGTTAACGCGTTTTCGCGTGGTGGTAACAAGCTGCAGCGCGGTCGCGTTGCGGCCCTATCTGGATTTTACCGAAATCCACGTGTAGAGGGGCAGTTCCGAATTCTGCGTCCCTTTAAATGGACGGCCAAGGCATCGCTGCAATTTAGTTATTCAAACGTCGTTTCGCGAGAATTTCGCTGCGCCAAAGAACATACCGACAAAATAGCTAATACCGAAAAACAGCTAATATCTTAAAACTATGTAAAATGTTATAAAAATGGTTTATATTTTGTTACCAGATGGTTACAGTCGCTTCGCGACTGCAACCATCTGGCCTTGGGGCTACCCTACATGTCCCACCCCACCACATCCTTTCCCACCTCCATCAATACCCCCCGTAGCCGAAATCCCCTTCAAAATACCTAAATACCTTCCTGATGGCTTCAGATACCCCCCACAGCCGAAATCCCCTTCAAAAACTACCTAATAACCTTCCCGATGACTTTAGATACTTTAAATGATTTAAATAACGAATTAACATAATTAAAACGTATTAAAAAGTATTAAAGTAACTTAAGAAATCGATCTGGGCGCGCGGAGGCCTGGGGAAGAGGGGCGGAGGGAAAGGGGGCGTGGCCTGCCGGGAGAGGGGCCCCCACTCGTTTTATTAAGGCGCCACTTTCAAAGTTAATTTTAATAATTTAAATTAAAATTTTTTCATAATTTTTTTATCAGTTTGGGGGTTTCTGACCACGCTCTATCCGAATCCGAAGAGACCTAAGCCATAGCTCCTTTCCCTTTCGAGTTGAATTCGGCTTCACACAGACAGACGGACAGACACCACTACTTTTTTATTACAGGGTGTCCCAAAAAAAAACGAACCATCTGGCATTTCGCCGTGTTATACATCCAATCGGCCCCAAATTTGGACCAGAGGTGTATCAGACCCAAAATAACAACAATCCTGACTTATAGCCCTGTAGCTACAGTAGATTTCGAGTTATGGCAAAAACAAACTCTATTTTCCATTTTTCATAGGGTTTTCGTGGAATTAGACCCCCTAAACATTAAGTGAAAATGATCCGGTAGGCCTTCTTTACCTTAAGAAATTTTTTCCGGATTAAACTTAATTAAATAAGCTTCGATTTAAGCGACTTTTACAACGCCCAATTACCCCAGTTCTTAAGCGAAATTAGGGATTCGCGGCCGGAAGTCGATGCAAATCGATGCAAAGTCAAAAAAGATAGCCAAAAAAACTGTTCAGAATTCCGGGAAAAGCAGTATTTTCGTTATAACTCGAGAACGACCGTAGCTACGGGGCTAAAACTCAGGATTGTTGTTATTTAGGGTCTCCTACACCTCTGGTCCAAAATTTGGGCCGATTGAATGTAACACGGCGAAATGCCAGATGGTTCGTTTTTTTTGGGACACCCTGTATAGTTGATAGGCCAACAGTAAGCAACGTCCCTGTCTGTGCTTATTGAAATGTTGTAGTATCTATGAAAAGATCCATGGGATTGTACCTTTTGCGCGCCTAGCATCCCAATGAGGTCTTTGTCCGGTAGTTCGCCATTTGGGTAATATTCCTTCAACATCAGATCTGAAAGCGCGAAGGTTTGTTCCGTATTTTTTGAAATGAATCTTGCAGTAACAATTTATGGGATTTACGGTCTCACCTCGTATAAACGCATTCTCCTCATCCGAATGTACCGACGCCACTTTTGCGTTCATCGCCGTGCAATTGGCCCTCGCATCAACTGTCGTGATTGCCCCGAAAGCCTAGGTATTGTTTTTTTGTGCTAATTAAAGGGGCTACGAAATGCCAAAAATGGAGTGACGGCCCGAAAATCGGAGCCCTGTACATGGGAGACCTCTGTACACCTAGGGGCGCGGGAAGCTCGCAAATTTGAAATTCCCTGTTGTCACCTCGAAATCACGTTCTCGGCTGTTTCTGGGCCAAATTTGATGATCAAAGCACCAAGACTATTTAAAATTGAGTGAGGATTGAAAAATGGGCTCAGAATGCGCGAATTATAGTGTTTTCCCCAGAGAAACCGGGCAAAAACAACTTCGGGCAAAAATCGAAAGAGTGAGGGCTCTTGTCCCGCCGCGCCCGCTGGCAATTTGCCAGAAATCGAAGAGGCCTCCCAAAAGGGCTTTGATTTGGCAGTACGGAGCCCCTTTAATGCAGTAGAACCTTGTAGCAGCTGTTTGTCGCGGCCAGGAGGGTCCAACCGGGATCGCAAGGTAGCTAAATTATAGGTTTAGATTAGAAAATTTTAAAACTTGAAATATCTAAACTACACATTTCAAGCTGAATGATTTAGCATCAAAAGTTTTCAAAAATTCCTACCTTAAGCTCGATCGTGAATGGCTCGTCGCAGTTCCCAAAATCTACCCCCTCAGCTTCCGCTTTTTCGCCACCGTACGTAGTATTCACATGTACAAACTCGGGCTCCGAGTCGTTTGGCCCATAAAACTCACAAGGATAATCTATAAATATGTATTAAGAAAACCGCACTTACCTAGCCCTATACAATCTGCCCCCCGGTGAGCGCAAAGTGCAAAACAAGTCCTATTTGGTGTTCCTTTAACAGCAAACCCTCGAATAAAATAGTGTTCCTGGCTAATGACTACGGTAGCAAATAGGAGTGCGCCGGGAATTAGCCACAACATCTATTTAGTATATGGCATGCATGGCGATGAGCGGGCACAAGGTTTTCAGTTTTAGACGTAGAGACGCACGTCCCTGGTCAACGTTGCAACAAAAAATCCAGACTTTTTGTAACCATGGTGTTATTCCGGTTTTGACTAATGGTTGTCGGGTTTTAACGGGCACTTTTCGCATTGCGGAACGTCCCAAGCTCCTTTTCTAATTTTTCAAAAATAAACAATTGGCGTTCAGATGTGACTGTGGCGTGACGTGGACGTCGTTACAAGGGGCGTGGACCTGAGAGAACGCCTTCGCGAACTCATATAAACGCGTCGTAAATTTAAATTGGATTGAATTTGGTGATGTTCCATTTTCCTTAAAACGTGTTTATTAAAAATTGGATATTGAAGCGCCACAGAAAAAGTCTATCGTGGTTGCGGTTTCACGAATCGTGAAAATTTCACTAAAGCAATATCGCGTCTTTTTTGCAAATTGCAGCTTCGAAATATATGTCACAAGCTATGTCGTTCCATGTGCCCGTTGGATAGCGACACCTCCTGCAAACATATGTGGCATGTCTCGGGCCGGTACTTACCCGGGGCCATACGACCGGCTGGGACAGTAGGAATACATCTGAAAAAGAGTATGCGATTTTCTGCATTTTCGATGGCATTAGGTCCGATCATTTTTACAGCCAAAAAGCTACCAGTACGCATGCTTCGAAGCCATCAAGCGAATCGCCATTTGGTTCTCCAGGAGACCAATCCGTGTAGTCCCAAGCCGATCCGTCGTCCCAGAAGAAGGTCATATTTCCCGTAGGTTCCTAGGACCCCTCATTTTAGCCTCAAATTTCAATGAGAAAACTTTAACCGCAACGTTAGATAATTTCTTACAACAATAACAACTGACCCGAACAGCGCCCAGCAGGGTCACTAGGCCTTGGGGAGGAATGAAAACAGTATCGAGGTCAAATTGTCGTAGTGCAATTTCTAAACACAGAAAAAATATATTCATAAAATTTTATGGATGAAATCTTGCATGTTAAACATTTTAGTTCCCAACCAACATACGCATCACAAGGTCCGCTTCTTGCCTTGAATGAACTGAAGCCAATGTTGAGTTCACGTCATTGCAGAGCGATTTTGCGTCGTAATAGGTTACATTTGTAAATGCCTATGGGAAATGCTTGGTGATGGCTTCGTAAAAACACCTTATAGCAATGATCGGAAAGATTCGACTTTATCCAGTCTTTCTCGCAGGTGAACTAGAGATTAGCGGTATAGACAACCTGCGAGAAAATACCTCAAGTCGCTCGATAAAAGGACTTCCGCATTGGGCAATTATTATACCTTCATCTTCAAAATTTTGTTTCCCGAGCGAGCTATTAAGATAGAGAAAATCAGGGTCTCCATCTTGGATGCCGTAGGTACGGCCGGTGGGGTCTAACGTACTCTAAATAAGTCTTAATAACCACTCACCTATTCCTTTACAAGCATCTCCTCTTTTGACACATTGCGCAAAATAATTACCAAGCGGTTTTGTACTGGTAGTTGAGGTTTGGATAAAATAATAAGTATTGAAAGCCGGAATTTTAGGCGTGGCATCTGAAGGAGCAATCAGCGGCGGCAAAGTGATAATAGCATGGATTGGCAACGAAAAGTAGAGCAGGATTACGGTACCTCTCACAGCCATTAGGATCTTGGGAAATGCCTGCCAGGCGGAAGAAAACTTTGAAAATTATGCTTTCTGGTAGCCATGGCCGGGGCGGTGGAAAAGGCTTTCACGCCCTCGCCGTACGCGGTTTAGGCAGAAATAAAAAATAGCTTTCTCAGCACGACGTTGAATTTTGAGGTTCAAAAAAGTCTGAAACACCCGACTCTCATTGGAAGCTAGAACTTTGTTTCTCAGAAGGATACTATTTTTAGTGTCCACGGGGTTTCAAAATGGGATCAGGCCTATTTTGCGCGGGATTTTTTGGTGCTGATTCAAACCTCGTTTTAGGATCTGCGAAGCGACCGAAATCAGAAAGTTCTGACGGTTCAAACGGCGAAAACGGCAAAAGTTGGCTATTTTGGGCATTTTTCAACCCTGAAGCTTCGTATTTGAAATATGTTCGCTACACTGATTCTCAAACGTAGGTTTTGATCAGCAAAAAATGCTGAACAAAACAGGCTTGGTCCCATTTCGGAACTCGGTGGACACTAGAAAACGTCTCTTTGTCAGTTTCGACTAGACTTACCTGTCCCACAGAGACTGTTAGTCGTCGAATGATTTTATAAAAGTCGAATGTGGAATGTAAAAAATAACATTTATTGAAACCGAACTTTAGGGCTAGGAATTTTCCTAGTCAGGATAAACCGCTTCTTTCTGGCATGCCACAGCCGTGAAAACACCGGTGCAGATGTCGTCGTTCCATTTGCCCGTATAGGGGGTTCTGAACGTTCCGTGAGCTTAATTTTTAAGAACCCTACCCGTCGGGCGATAGTTTGTTACGATAGAAATACATCTAGAAAAAAATATCGTCAAAATTCAGCTTGTTACCAGTACACATGCTTCGTTAGTATTTGCATAGTTGTTTGGTTCCCCGGCCGACCAGTTGGTGTACTCCAATGCAGAGCCATCATCCCAGAAAAAGGTGTTGTTTTCAGTTGGCTCCTGGAAAATCATGGAAATTTGGCGTAGTTTATTGTTCGCGACAATGCGTTAACGGCGGAAGCGCGAATTTTTGAGATTTTTTATGTTTTAAAATGGCGATCAATAGAGCTTCAAAAACTAAAAAAAAAATATTGAAAGGATCATTTTCAACCAGATATTCGACATTTTTAAAATTCCATTCGATGGATGGTCGAAAAACTTATGACGAGCTTTGTTACGGCGCGTAAAAGCACACTGAAGACCCTTTTTATTGTAAAAAATCTTGAGTGCTTGAGTGAATGTAAAAAAATCTGGAAACCTACACGATGGGCACCCAATGGGGAGCAAAGACCCCGATTTGGCACGGTAACGTTTGCTAAATTAACATGGCTCAGGAGCAGCTCTAAAATAGATACTCGACCCTCCGTTGGCATAAGTGCTTACGCCATAAGAATTCGTTTTCCTCGGCGGAACGGATCAGGGGCAGAGATGAATTGGCGGAAGCACAAATTTTACATGCGTTGACGTATCTGATGTCGGTCAGGACCTAGCATGGTAGCAATGATCTTATGGTAGGGTTGTGAATAATAAGAATATATAAATATATTGAAAACAGCATGCAAATGAAAATATACCTTGTAGCAAAGTTGCGAATAGTTTGACATTATCCACTCCGGTTCACAAACGGGCTGAATTCTGTTTTTTTTTCTGATCGTTTGATATCACTTTTACTCGAAAATATAGCAATATAGGGCAGATATGGCAAAAATCCAAAAATTCCAGACTCACATCGATGCGCTCGACAAAAGGGTTTCCGCATTGTCCGATTATTAATCCTTCAGCGTCAAAATTCGCTCGCCCGGCTGTGCTATTAGTATAAAGAAAATCAGGTTGTCCGTCTTGAATGCCATAAATACGTCCATTGGAATCTAAGGTACTCACGATATGCTTAAAAATAACTTACCGATCCCTTTACAAGCATCTCCTTTTTTGACACATTGCGCAAAATAGTTACCGATCGGCTTTGTACTAGCATTTGAGGTTTGAATAAAATAATGTGTGTTTGGCGACTCAATCACACTTGTAGACAGTAACCCAAAAATCCGCGTCAACCAATCGGATTGAGCTTGGATTGACAAGGCAAAGGCGAGAAGGATTACGGTATTACTGAGACACATTAGGGTGCAAGAAATAGCTCCAAAGCGGAAGCAAACTTTGAAAATGATTTCTGCTCGTAGCCATGGTCTCTGGATTGGAAATGCGTTTCACGCCCGCGCCGAGACTTTTAGGCGGAAATAAATTGCGTCTGACCACAGCCGACGAAATCCCGCTTCCAAAAACGACACGAAAATCTAGTAGCGCTTTACATGATACTGTCAGAGTTTAGGCTTTTGCTTTAAAAATTAGTCCATTACTTGAATCTATGCCACAAATTAGGCCTAGAAAAAGTGAACATTTTCAAATTATGTTTTGTATAGCAAAAAATTATTTAAAAAAACAGGAAATCAGGAAAACATTTATTTAATTTTTTCGCCAATGCACCATAGATTTCAGCGTCCGTTGATGCCAGGTAGTCAGTCCAATGGATCCTGAAAAGGGCAATGCAACAGTTATCCAGAAATTTTTATGGAAAATTCGTTTTCCTAATCATTAGCTTACCGCCATTTCCTCCACGTAAAAATGCTGCCGGCAGTTTCCGAGCTGATACCCGCTCGCCAAAAATTCGGCTTGCCCCAACGAGCTGTTTAAAAGGCCGTTCCCGAGGGGCGCGACCACTGCTTGGCACAGTTTTTTTCGACCCTGTTTTTTTGACGCCATCGGAAAGAGCATGATCGAATTATTAGGGTGGCACTATTTTGAGAGTTTAAAAATTTAATTTTCGGGGTTAAATTGGGCGCTAAAGTTGCCGACAGCAAAAAATTATCTCGAAAGTTACTTTACCAAATCAGTCGAAAATTTGTGACTGGGCCTGATTGTCGGTACTGATCATATCTCTAATACATTGCGCAGCTCGAAAATGACCGGAACATAGGTGTACCGCGTACACAAATTCGTTTTTCCGTAATTGCCGGAGCCTGCCGTTCGGGCGGGCGATGAGACTAGCATAGAAAGATGCGCAATAAATTTCTGCATCGATTGATGTATTGCTCATGACCCGCCCGTTCGGCAGGAAATTGCTATAAACTATTTACTGCGCCGAAAACCGTCCGAAAAAAGCTCAAAAAGTCGAAAACAGGTCTATTTTGAAAATGTGAAGTATCAAAACACATCTACAGCATCAACGCGACACGGTTGATCTAAAGGACCTCCTTAACTCCTTAAAGTGCACGTTCAGGGAGGGGCCATGTACTCGTCCCAACGTGTACACCCTATGGACGTAGGGACCGCGCGCACTGCCTACCCGTGCTGTGACAGGCCATTCCCCTCCTTTGCGGCGTGGGGCGCCCCTCATCACCTCGCCAGGTTGTAGCTGTGGCTGACTGGTATCCATCCGCGCCTCCAGCGGGGGGCCCGGGTTCGACCCCCGGCCGCGGCAAAGGTCTTTGCTTTCTTCCAAAAAAAACCTCCCTGAACGTGCCCTTTAAAGGGCTGCCGGCGGCATGTGTCGATCCCCCTCATCAACAAATTGGCAAGTAGCCAACAGGGGAGAGAGCACGCCCAGGGGAGAGGCGCAGAGACAATTTCTTTTCCGCGCGTAACCGATTGACTATGCAGTCGGCATCCCTTTAAAGGGATGGATAAGACAAATTTACGAGTTATGCAAGGGGGATGGTGGCTCTTCACTCTGTCACTTGATCGGCCTCTCCACCCTGTTGGCTACTTATTAGCAGTGGTGGAGCGGATTTGCTATTATGTTGAAATTCATGATGTCGAAATTATTTTCTGAATTTTGAAATGTGCTTCTATTTACTTTAATTTAATTTCAAAATTCCGAACTTCAGAATGCATTTCAGAATGTCGGAATTTCTGAATATTTTCTCAATTTTCGAACGTTCTTCAACTTAATTTAACTTGATTCAGAATTTGAAACTACAGAATAGAAATTCCCCGATTTCGAAATTTTGTGCGTCAATTTCGGTGAGTCGAAATTTATCGAAAAATTTTTAATTTGGGGTTGAGGGAGAGTTGCTTATGTAAATTTCGACATTTTGGAACTTGGCGTCGCTAAAATTACACATTTGAAAGTCAAGGATAGGTCCATTGCTCCGAATAGGCCTATTAGAGAGCGTATTGGGAACCAGCGCCCAAAACCCGCTTCGCGGGCCTTGGGCGCTGGAATTGGGCCTTTGCATGAAAAATTTGACTTTCCGATAGCTCGGGTCCTTCGGACCCCTTCCCCGACTGACCACACACGCGCGGGCAAATTGCAAGAATGAGGAAATTTGTATTTTTTTTCATACTATGCAAATTACCCCCAAAAACGAATAAAACCGGCTTTAACTTTGTAAACTTGTATTTTATCGAAATTCTGAAAACGCCATCGGAAAGAGGAGGATCGATTCCCCCGAGTGACAAAAAATCAGCGCATTTTGGAACCTCTATTGTCCAGGGTTTCACGCTGCATCCCAGATATTCCCAAATTTCCGGAATAGCATTTCCCGGAAGTTAGCGATCGAGCCCAGAAAAAAAAAGAAAAATGAGCTATACCACGCTCACCAACTGGGAGGGAGCGGCGGAGAGGGATGACCTCCCCGAGGCGCTCCTAGGTCCACGGTGTCCGCGCTCTGCAGCCAGACGGAACCCCTGCGGGCAGTACCCCAGCGTCCCAGAGGCCTTTAACGGTGTTTGAAGGTAGCTTATTTGTGACGGTTCTCAGGCTGAAAACGTTCATAACTTCTACAAATTAGCTACTCCGGTAAATTTGGTAAATAGCTTCGAAATCTGCGCCGAATTCTGCACAAGTTATTCTTGGTCCAACCCCAAAAACCCAAAGACACACACTTCTAGTGAGTTTGAAAACGTGATATGTGTGTAGTAATCTCCAGTCCTTTAAGCATCTATACGCATCAAACATATCCTAAAATTGTTTCCTACTGCGGTGATTTGTTTTTAGCCGCTTTTTATTATCATCAAGTAAACTTGATTCTAATTCTAATTCTAATTCTAATTCTAATCTATTTTAACTTTAATCGAATTCTAATCTTTTTATTCGTAAACTTATTATTAATTCTAATAGGATTGATTCAAGGGCTGATGATGGCAGCCTTCTCACAAACAGCCGCCGCCCAAATTCCCCCACAGCCATAGTCGTTCCATTTTCCCGTGCAGGTGGTCCTAAAAAAGCCTTGAGCAAAGTCGCAAATCGTACCCATCGGAGGAAGTGGCGTTTGGATGGTAGAGGTACATCTGAAGTATCGAATTTTCAGTACCAGCTATTTTTGGGTACCTGCACGCATGGCTCTCCACCACCCGAGTTGTTCGGCTCCCCGATGTCCCAATGATTATAATCCCAATCCGAGCCGTCGTCCCAGACAAACGGACCTGTTCCCGCGGGTTTCTACACTTTAATATACGAGTTGTTAAAAACTGCAGGTAGATTAGGGTTGCGAAAGGCCTAAAAATGTACATACAATAAGGATGCGCAAAAAAGACGCTTCTCTAACTCTCGGATTTAATCGGCCAGCTGAAGCTCCTTACCCTATGAGCTCCAAGCAAACCCATCAGACCGCGGAATGGTATTTGAGCGGTGGCAAGGTTGTATGGGCTCAGCATCAGTTCTAAAGAACAGAAGATGACGACGCTCGTTAAATGAAAAGTTTAGTACGTATAGGAACAAGTGAAAAAACGGGGGAAAGATGAATCCATGAGCCTTTCTGAACTTACCCAAAAGAAAGGCATTCTCATCTTCAGAATGTATTGATGCTAACGTGGCGTTCAGCGCTTCACAGTTATTGCGCGCTTGCAAGGCTGTCACATTGATAAAGACCTAAATTGTATGATTTAATTTTGACATACTACGAATACAGATTATCAATAATACCTGATAGCAGCTATCAGTAACGTTAAATTTGGTGAAACCGGGTTCGCACACAGACTAAAATGACTGGATGATAAAAAAAAGATCAGACAGGGTTTAGGAAAGGCGGGAGAGTTTTTACCAGCACAACAGTGGCGGTCAAAAAATTATCAGGTCGCGCAAGAGTCTATATCTCGAATTTCCTAGCTATAAATTTTGTGAAAATTTTACTCTAGGTCAAATAAGCAACGGGGAAGTCGATGCTGACACAAAATCCTGCGAGTGTTTCATTTTAGTTGCTAACTTGGCAATTTTACAAACACCGCGAAAATCAACTTTTTCCTGAGCCATTTTTGGCTTTCAAAAAAAGTGTTATCGTGTTCAGGATGGTCGAAAACCAATTTCTGGGTGTTTTTCGTATTTTTTCTGCGGGGAACGGGCTTTCCTGGAGGCAGAAAGTTGCCGTCGCCGGGGCAGAAATGCGCCCAATGGGCGTTCGGGGCACCAAAATGACTCCGCGACAGCTACTCCATGACTTGGCAGGAGCAAGCCCTGAGCCAACGGATGTTACAAAAATTGATAGGTAGTGGTTTTTGACCATGCTGAACACGATGGCATTGTATTTGAAATCTAAAAATTCCTCAGGAAAAGTTGGTTTGGGCAGTACATTTCAAACAGCCAATTTAACAAATAAAATGAAAAATTCGCAGGATTTTGATGTCGGCATCGAATTCCCCGTTGCATAATTAATTTAGAATCAAATTTTTACAAAATTTAAAGCTAGGGCATCTGAGATACGGACGTTTTCCCGACCCGATAACTTTTTGACCGCTACTGTACCTCTGCCTCGTTGACAAGCGGCCAACAGCTTTCGAGCTCAAACCCGTTTGCCAAAAATTCGGCTTCTCCCACCGAGCTGTTAAGATATAAAAAATTCGGTTGGCCCACAGCAGAAACATTACATGGAGTATCTAAAAAACGACTCAGAACCTCATTAGGAAATCACCAAGTCCTTTGCAAGACTCCGGATCTTGGACGCATTCCACGAAACATTCCACATCCGGAGTCGACGTTGAATTTGAAATTTGAAGAAAGTAGTGATCAGCCAGTACATGGATTTTGACAATGGATAGAATGAAGGCAAATTTCATCCTGTTTTCAGGGTTGAGCGCTGACATTCCTGGGCCGGAAGGGCATCGCATTGCTGCAGTGCACTGAAGCCTTTTGTCGTCATGGTTTAAATGGGCTTGCGAAATTTGCGCCTTTCGGAAATTAGGGCAGAACATTTGCTCCTATGCAACAGTTTTCTTCGTTCGCAAAATACAAAAGTTTTCAAAACCTTGAATAAGTGCGGCAAACCCGCGACGCTGCGGGTTGCCTAAGCGCTTCTGGATCCGGAGCAACTCAGGAGACTGATTTTAAGGATATTTGATATGCAATTGGGTGTATCACGGTAACGAGCTAGGTAACATTTGCTCCGAGGAAATAGTTGTCTTTTGTCCCAAAACACACTATGCCCTAAAAACCATGGTCAGGGTGGATCAGGCCATCAAGTTTTTAGAAAATCTAAATTTAACATCGAAAACAAATGACAATAAGACGTTTTTGAGCCTCCACAGAGTTTCGAAATCGGGTCGAACCTATTTTGTTCAGGGTTTCACGCTGCCTCCAGATGTTCCCATTTCCTGAATAGCAATTTCTCGGAAGTTATAAACGATTATGCCTAAAAAACGCAATGATACGCTGCTTCCACGGTCCTTAAACTTTGATACAAAATTCCAGGGTTTTAACGACCCTTGAAGGTAGCTGATTTCTGGCCGGTTTCGCCTGCAGTAATGTTGATATAGGACCGTATACATCTGTGCAAATCGATTAGTACTTGTTATTTATCTTAGTACCAGCGGTCCCCCCACGGGGGTTTAGCGCTGACTCTCCGTCCCCCCCCCTACAACTTGAACACTTGAACCTTGAATTTGAATGCAGATTTGGCTGAATTTCCGGTTGCGGTCTGACGTGTGCACGGACATTAGAAATTTATATATAGTAGATTCTGCAGCTTATTTTATTAGCGTCGAGTTTACCACGGTGCTAGGGAGGATAATGGGCGTTTCTCTGACACACGCCCGACGCAAAACGACCGCATTCGTGGGCGTACCAACGTGCCACGGTCGGGCCTTCGTTCCTGTAATGCTTCATTTAAATATATAAAAATAGGCAGTTCCTGTAAAATAACAGTGAATAACAGGGATCACATTCCATTCACGAATATTCTCTCTCACGTGGCTTTCGAAAAATCTTTGGTCACAACCTACCATGTTCGAAAGATAAAATCTTTGATTTGCTCTGATAGCGCGCTGTCAAGGGCCCGTTTACACTAATCGATAGCTCTCGAGGTGTAAATACCGATAGTTCTTTAGATCATCGAAAATCAACACAGAATGGCCAAGTTACGCCTGCGTGAAAATTGACTGTAAAACCAAGATTTTGGTAAGAGAATGCAGAGTGAATTTTGGTAAGACTGAAAAACGCCCCTCTCTCGCGATATTTATAAAGGCTACCGCCATTTCCGGCGTATGCTAATTATTTCCTAACAAAGATCGCTCTCCGATTTTTCAACAATGTCGAAAATAGCGTAATTTGCAAAATCGGATAACGTGCAGTCACCTCGGGGTCGTTACGCACCCAATGACGTAGCACATGTAACATAAGACCATGTCTTAAAAATTGCGCAAAACCTACTTGAAAAGTGTTATATCCTTTTAAGGAAAGCTCTTCGGCAAAAACTGAACTCGTAAGAAGCTTTCATCTAATGTTCTGACGCTTTTCGGGTCTGTATTTCGAGGTACATCAATTTTTGGACGCCCTTTAAAGCCTATCAAAGATTCTCGCCGTAATTTTCTTTCCAACCTGATATTTCGAGGACCTATGACAATTGAAGTCCGTAGCTAAGTTGGGAAGATAGCCGTTATATAGCAGGTTTCCGGGTAGGGAGTTTCCGGATCAGGTTCTGCGGGACTGTGGAAAATGAGGTGTCAGAGTTATGGGGAATTTTCGGGCAAGAACTCGAAGAATGGAAAAGCTTACCCCTGCACGCTTACGTCTTGCACGGAAAACCCGGCATATGAATACATCTAGGCTGACTTTAATACTGGTGCAATTGTATCGCTTACCGCTACACAACTTCCGTTGCCGCTAGGTTCACCGGAAGCCCATAGTGCAGTATCCATTGGTGAGCCATCATCCCAAACATATGACCCGTTATCGGTCTAGGATTTCAATTGCCTGTTCTACCAATAAGCGTTCTGGCCCAAGGAAAACCGCAGCAAGTTACAAACTTTCATAAAAATTGTCTCGTCCATTCGGAATTATCCATCGAAAATTCATCGATCCGGATCCACTTTGAAGCGCTCCCCCTCCCCCACCCCCGTGGAATTTGGCCGCATTAACGATCGAACTGAAATTTTTAGGAGGAGTGCGCAGAGCCAAAAACTTGGTAAAGTGCTAGGCAAGAAGGTGCTAACTGGTAGGATACGCGAGTAAACGCAAGATAACGCTAAAACCACCTAACCCGGCTATTTATAAAAAAGTATTGGAGTGTGTGTACAAACTTTATTTTCCATTTTTCATATGGTTTTCGTGGAATTAGACCCCCTAAACATTAAGTGAAAATGATCCGGTAGGCCTTCTTTACCTTAAGAAATTTATTCCGGACTAAAATTAACCAAATAAACTTCGATGTAAGCGATTTTAACAACGCAAAATTACCCAAGATTTTAAGCAAAATTAGGGGTTCGCAGCCGAAAGTCGATGCAAATCGATGCAAAGTCCAAAAACATAGCCGAAAAAGTTTAGAATTGCGAGCGAAACGGTATTTTCGTTATAACTCGATAATTACTATAGCTATGGGGCTATAAGTCAGGATTGTTGTTATTTAGGGTCTGATACACCTTTGGTCCAAATTTGGGGTTGAGTGGATGTAACACGGCAAAGTGCCAGATGGTTCGTTTTTTGGGACACCATGTATTTCCATGCAACTCCCGCAAGAATGCCCGGGACCTACACCCTCTGGGAAAGGATTTCAAGATATGTTTAATACGTCTTCAGGTGCGAAATGGTGCGAAGATTAGTGCCCGCGCCTAAGATTTGGGAACATTCGATTCGAACGATTTCGATTAAAAGCGTCGTACTTCGGGTTCGGTTATTTCGACGGGCCATGTGGACTTTTTAGTAAAGGATGATGTATCGGTTTTTTGCACATCCTGGTTGCTTACACGTGATATAATTTTTGGCATACGATCTCCAGTAAAAACTCCAATTAAAGGGCCCTGGGCGCAAAAAGTAATGGGACGTCCTGTATATTTTTTACGGAATCCCTTGAGGATCCGGAATATCTTACCCTATAAGCTCCCACTAACGAGGCGACCGGGCGGCCAGATGAGAGCACGCCGGCGTCTATCAACGCTCCCGTTATTAGCCCTAAATAGTTAAGTGAAATGACTGTTAATGGGCTCAACGCCTTTCAATGCGCCACCAATAATGAGAAGCCTTCCCGCCAATTTTTTGCGTTGATGCGCAAATAGTCCTTGGGCCCCCGGACCGCACGAATCCAAAACGGCCTACTCCAAAGCACTATGTGCTCCAGCGACGAATGGATCGAAGCGATTGAGGAATTCTGGGCCACACATATCAGTCGCATTTCTTCGAAAGTCACATTCAGGGCCACCTTCAAATGTATAGTTTGAAAGGGAGAAATTTTGCAATCCACCTTCAGGCATGTGGCGCTATCGTTCCCCATTGTCCAGCCGGGATCGCATATGAGCTGAAGAATCAGATTAGGTTTTTCGCGCTGACATGGTTTTCGAATTTGCCTACACATTTTCGGACAAGTTTCCGAATAATCTTTTCAAAACCCATATCTTGGAAAATCATATTTTCGCAAATTAACTTTCCAAAGAACAAAATTTCGAAAAATATGGCGATCTCGAGCGCAGGCAAAGACTGCAAACCATAGCTATACAAATTTTTCGAAATCGTGATTTTTAGAAAATATGACTTTCGGAAACATGGTTTTAGAAAAACCGATTTTCGCTGATAAAATTTTCGAAAAATGCTTGTCCGTTTTCCAAATTTAAACTGATATTCGAAACCTGTAAAAATCAGGCCCGATCCTACCTCAATCCTCTCAACAAATGGCATCCCACATTCTGCGATCGCCATTCCATCATCTGTTGCTGTTGATAGCCCGATGGAGCTATTAATATACAAAAATTCCGGCCCCACATCATCCGCCCCATAAATTTTACATGCACTATCTTAAAAAACCTTCGCAATTTTGTTAAAACACACAAACCAATTCCTTTACAAGCTTCACCCAATTTTGCACACCGTGCAAAACACGTTCCAACCGGCGCCTCGGCAGAATCAGAAGTTTGCAGGAAATAATGGTCGCCAGAACCAAGACTTGCAAAGCTCAGAAACAGCAAAACAGATTGCATCTTCAAAGTAAAGTGGGATTTTGAGGCCGCGAAATTTGTAGCCGTCGGCCGCGGCCGACATTCGAAATTTTGTCCTTAGTAGCCATGGCTGGAAATGCGTCCGAGGCGCCGCTCCCCAGCATTTCTTCATGGAAATGGATGGGCTGCCGGGCTTTTAGAAAAACAGACTAGACTTCCGCTTGTCGGCGGTGTCAGCCGACGTCAATCAAAAATGGTCTTATGAATTTTGAAACGAGAAAAAGAGCGTTTTAAATAGACACGAGGCTAGCGATGTATTAGCGTGAAACCACACGTCATTTGGTGTGAATAGTACAGTACTAAACCCTTTTAACCCATCCAAAATCGGCCGTAGAAGTTGCAACGACTGAACACATTCAAACATTCTTTATTCCGATCGGTCTCAAAGGTTAGCATACTTCCGGCAAATCGCCACATCAAACGCATTGTCGCACGAGTTTTCGTTCCACTTTCCGGCGTAATTTGAACTGGAAAAACGATCCCCTTAGAATCTAGTGAAATCAGTCCAAATGTTTTTTTATTGATTGTAAACCGCGCCCCGAACGTTGACCTCCGAAAGGTTCGACGTACTAATAGAAGCTCTTTTAAAATCCCGATGGTTGAAATTGACTCATTCGTGTGAGAAAATTGGTGGGAAAAACTCTGCTAGTTCCTAAAACTTATAAAACTGAGTTTTCTTCCATTTTTTGTTGCAGCTATGGCCCAATACCTTTAAAAACCTGTAACCTTTTTAAAACTTGAACCTTTATCACCTTTTAAAACGTTTAAACTTTTGTAAAGACCTTTGAAAGTTACCTAAAATCGTTGCCCTCGCGTAGTTGCATCTAAACAAAGGTGCTTTTGTTAGAGTTTCCCATTTTAGTCGCTAAAGATACCTCAAGACAGCCGCTACCGGCCTTTGCAATTTTCCATTCATCCTCCAAAAAGTTTTTGTAGTCCATCGGACTTCCGTCGGCCCAGGTCCAGCCGAACTAAAATGCCGATCCCATTACGAGACTTCCAAGTTCACGGCGTGCCCAAAACACTGAAAAACTTACTTCCTTCTGACAAAGCGTGCGTTCTGGTGTAAAACACGGATAATCATTCCACCGGCCGTCGGGGCGTAGCTAAAATGGTGCAACTACAATCTTACGGCTGCGTTTTCATAGCTATTTTATTCCCTTTTTGAACCCCCCGGGTTTTTAAAGTCGGATACCTGCAAGCAATACTCCTCCACCCGGGCAAAATCCATCAAAAAGTTGTCCCAATTCGTGTAGTTCATCGATGATTTGTCGTTCCAGACATAGTCATACTTGCCGGTACCGGTCTAACGAATTTAGTGTATTTTACTTGTCAAAGTTTTACCCTGGAAGCGTCCAACCACGCGAAATCCCGACCACCAGTGCGTTTTGTGAATGCTATAGTACGTTATTTCAGGAAAACAGTATTCAAGTTACCGTTAGCAAATTGATTCTCAACTGAAGAATGGATAGTCAACACTCGGGACCCAATCTGTTGGCATTGTTTGGTGGCTTCAGAGAATAGGAGCATGGTATCGAGGAACTGAAAATTTACTTATGAGAAAGAGAGAGTGAGAGAAAGGGAGAGGAACAGAGAGAGCGAGAGATAGAGAGACAGCGAGGTAGAGACCGAGAGAGAGAGAGTCAGAGAGGAGAGAGTCTGTTAAAAATTGACTAGAAAGAAGAGATGGATGTTTTTGGACAGTCCCACCGAAGCCTTGTGCATACCTTATAACACTTATTAGTTCCGGCTCCCTGTGTCCAACCGCTATCGCAAGAGGTTCCCTAAAACGAGATAAACCTCTCTCGGTATCGTGAATACTTGTTTAGCTCCGAGCAGCAGAGTAGATGCTCGTCGACTGAAATCGTCTAATCCTCCCCGTTTTCGCAGCGACTTTACGGCCAATTCGAAAAAATTGCGTTGTTAGAAACCAGGGTTTTCATCTACCAAGCAACAGCCTGTTTTCTTCGGCCGAGCGTATTGTCGCCACGACCGCATTCTTCGATTGGCAATGTTGGCGGGCTTGGCCGGCAGTGGCCGAATTCACTGCCTGGAGCAGCTATGTAAAACTACGGTGATTTCCTTACCAAGTAGCAGCTTCTGGTTTTACGGGAATAAGTCCATCCGCGATCACAAGGATCCTAAAGCTCGCAAGGTTGAAAAATCAGAAAATGGCAGCTTACCTCATTGGAACGGCTGGCAGAAAATCGGGGCTTCTTTGGCTTCTTGGCTTTCTATTTAGGCATTTCGATATAATTAATATTAATCCTACTCTTTTGACCTGTTCCTTGCGACAAGCCATCACTCGATTGCCTTGGTCGCACTTGACATGGTTCCATTTTCCAGCCCCAGTCGATTGAATGTTGAACCGGAGGCTCTTTGAGTTGTCGAAATTCCAGTGACGAACGTACATCTAAAAGATGCTTAGGATGTATTGATCATACGTCCAATACTACATAATACTTTTTTTACCTCGATACACCCCTTGTCGTCATCCCACTCTTCTTCGGAGGATTCACGATGGTACCAGTTTGTATATTTGAAGGGTCTGTCGTTTATCCAACGCCAGCGACGCCCGGCTCGTCCTCTCTGAAGGCAAATACAAAAAAATTGACTAGCTGTATCGAAGCAGATCTTGATTCTTTCTTTCTCACCTGGACGCTTCGCTTAGCTTTTCCCTCATACCCATCAACATTCTCCTTCTGATCAAATAAATCTCTGTGATCAAAGTCTTTCTGGCCACCGTTAGATATCACGGTGATCTCCTAAAAACAACAAAAATCATAGCTAAAACGAAGCCTTCGAACCTGTTTTGCGCCCAATAAAAAGATCTCTGTTTTCTGTACCCGGGCAATGATGCCAAATTCTAAAACCATTCAAAATGTCATATCAGATAGAGAAACAAACCCAAAAGATCCAGATTCTCGTCTTCATCTCCAGCTGAAGCTACTGTAGCATCAAATTTATCACATGCTGATGCTGCTTTTGAAAATGCTATATTGCGGATCAGCTAAATGTTGCTTTAAATAATTTCAAGAATGAAAAACACCTTGAAACAAGTTCGTGTCCGGTTCATGGCTGTCCATCCGTCTTCGCAACCTAACTAAATCAGATCATAGCTATTTTTTAGAGCGAATAAGTATGCATTTCAAAGTCAGTCAAATCCTACCTGATCACAACTGTCCGTGTCCTCGCATTTGTGCCCCAGTCCTACCGTACCCAGCGCCGCGAGGAGTGTCAAAAGTTTTAAGGTCATGTGGCGCGAAAGGACGCACGAAATAAATGACCACGACCGCCGTGTGGGATTTTCAAGAAGCAGACAGTGGGCGTATTATGAGCGCGTGCACATAAATCACCCTGGTGCGGCCATAACAAAATGTGATGGGCTTTGCGGACCGTAACACGATCTCGGCTACTGAGGCCGACTCGTTAAGCGTGGGAACGTGAGGACGTGCGAAAACAGGGTGTTTTTAGTCGTAAAATCCAGAAAATAAAACCGTCATAGTAAGGATGTAGCCACCCGGGTTTAAAGGAGCTCCGACATAATTGAAAATTACCGCGTGCAGGGGCCGGGCAGAGATACAGGGTTTTGTCTGCATCTCTCCTCGATGCGCGCTCCTTCTCTGTTTGGAACGATGTCACCGATTGTTAAATTATTTATTTTAACCCGAGTCCGTTTTTTGCTTTCATCTGTCTCATCGTCCATTGTGAGCTGAAAAATGCAATGATCAGAGCAACCCAAATGGATTTGCTATCATTTTGCCGAAACTTTCATTTCCTCGAAATTTTATATTGTCGAAATTTCAATTTGCCGAAACTTTGAGAAAAATAATCCAGGTGGACGAGGCATTGAAATTTAGACAAAATGAAAGTCCCAGAAAATGATATTTCGACAAAATGAAAGAGGCCACCCAAATGGATGCCGGAATTCACGCGCCCACTTACCTGCAGGTGAAGCCACGCTTGGGATTACGGCCCCGAACGCCCATTTCTGGCATGCGGCTGCGGAGCGCTTGGATGTACAGTTATAATCGTTCCATTTGCCCAGGTTAACAGTTCTAAAGTTGAACGTGCCGATTCTTGACGTATAGCTTAAAGGGTTGCCGGCGGCATTTGTCGATCCCCCGCCCCCATCAACAAATTGGCAAGTAGCCAACAGGGCAGAGAGCGCGGGCTGGGGAGAGGCGCAGAGACATTTTCTGCCCAGTGCGTAACCCATTGACTATGCCGTCGGTATCCCTTTAAGACACTCACCTCACGTCCTTGTACAGGGTGGCCCGAAAGAGTGGTGACCGCAGCTTGCACACAGAATTTCTCTGTTCCCTTATGGGTTTGGGCAAGGCGGGGTTATGGATTCTGTTTCCTATAGATGTTAGCTAAATTTGAGCATACGCTCAGCGCACAACGCAGTCAAGCTTTTTCATTAGGAATTTAATTCCATAATTCAAAGTCATGGATTTTTTTGAAATCGACAAAATCTAAAATAAATTCCTGTGGATGAAAATACTTAACGATGCCTTTTCCATCTCTTTAACGAGCGTGCCTGACGTTTCCGGTGAAGCTCGTGGTGCAGCTATGGCTCAGAACCCTCCAACTTGGTCAAGTGACTGAGGCCCGTTATTAAGGGTTTTGACCAAACCGTTTTTTGCTCGCCAAAAGAGCCATCCTGCAGCCCCAACCCGAATCCGCAGAATTTTTTTGTGTAGCCGGTCTGAAAGGCCAAAGTGTTGGCTACTCCCGATTCAATTTTGGGTTCGCTCGGGAAAGTCTTCGTCGAGTTATGAGCCAAATTCGGGCTGAGTGCCTGTGTGCCAGCACCTCCGTTTTCCATCCGCTTCCCCGCCGGTTTTTCCGAATCTGAGGCAAACAAATAAAAAAGTGGGGATACCATGTGGAAGATAATTGTTTAAGGAATATAATGTGCTAAAATGAGCTTTCCTCGATCTATAGTTTTTCAGAAAATCGAAAAAGTTTCGGTCACCACTCTTTCGGGCCACCCTGTATCTACCATTTGCGAGATATACCTAGAAATTAAGTTAAAGCAGCGAAGAAGAGGGCCGGTACCTCCAAGCAACCTTCGTCTTTTCCCGCGTCTTGGTCCGGTTGTCCCTGTTCCCAATTCGTGTAGGCCATCACCGAGCCGTCATCCCAGAGGAAGGCAGTGTTATTGCCCGGTGACTATATAGATAGAGCAGAGCTGCTCGCGGAGCGGATCAATGCTCACCCGATGTGCTCCAAGCAGCAGCGTGGGACCGGTCCACTCTGGGAAGTAGACGGTCAAGGCGGTTTTGGACTGCGCTGCTAGCCCTTGCTGTACCATGTCTACAGGGTGCACGAATAAAAAGCACAGCCCTCGGTCTCGACGAAGAAGTATCGGTTCGGAACGACAGATACACCTTTCGAAAGTCCTTGAAAAGGCGAGTTTGCACCAATTTTTAACCGTGTTGTTATGTAAACGAGTATTTTTATAACGATCTTAAACCCAGATGGCACTCCCTCTGCAACTAATTAACCGCTACCTCGGGCATTTTGCTTGGAGAAAAATTATTCAACTCCGAAACCAGCTCGTATGCAACTCCGAGAAAACCGGGAGATTTTCCAAAATAGCTGTAAAAATAGCGCAATGAAATAAAAAAATGGTTCTGAAGCTTGATAAAAGCTTGCCGTTTAAGGGCTATCGAATGGTCTTACTCTAATTCCGATCCGATACTTCTGTGTCAAATTAGAGGGGTGTTTTTGATTCGGTCACCCTGTAAAACCTTTAGTTGATCTAGGTTGGTGCACAAATCGCTAGCTGATTTGCATTGCATGATTACTCCTTGAACCTCTAGGTTTTGTCCTTGAACCTCATTCACCCAAGAAAAGCTTGTTCTCCTCGGCTGAATGGACGGATGCGAGGCTGGCGTTTTGCTGCTGGCACCGCTGCTTTGCCTCGTCCCCAGTGACGTCATAGATAATCTATTCCGGTCGTCCGCCGTCAAGTTAATAGATACCTGTACGCATCTTTCTGTCGAACCCACAAGGGTCCATTTGGGGCTGCAGTGCAACCAAATTCGTTCGTTTGGTACATATGTACAGGCCCGTAAGAGGGCCGGGGGCGAGGGCGAGCCCCCCCCGAAATCGTCCGAAGGCCGAAAAGTTCATAAGGGGGGACCCTTATGATTTAATTTTTCCAAGAAATTTTTGTCTGCGGCGCTGTTTTTGTCTATTTTTAACACTAGTTTTAGTGTTATAAACCCTATATTTACAAAATTTTTGCCTGCGGCGCTGTAGTTTTAGTCATATTCGTGAAAAATTTTTGGGGTCGCCCCCCCCCGAAATTTGGGTTTGTTACGGCCCTGCATATGTACACGCAACTGGCTACAAACGAAATCACTGTGTCGAAATATCATTTTGTCGAAATTTCTTTTTTTTCGAATCGGGGCAAAAAGTCACCGACCTCTACTGCAAACTCAGCCTCTTCCGACAAAAACTGAAAAGCCGCACATCTGGTCAGGCTGCAAAAATTCTAGCAAACCTCTTCCTCCTCGTCCCCGGGTGGCGGAGTCGCAAGCGTTCTGTCCCAATCCGTTTCATCGTCAGCGCTATGTAGGACTCTTTCGAAAATTACCACCTCTACTTCCGCTTCCGGCGTTACTTCACGTCCAATCGTTTCATTTAGGGCAGCAGCCAACATGGCTCCTAACATTTTCGTGTGTGCCGTTGTTTGCCAACAAACCAATCGCCAAAAGCAATAGGAGTGGCCTGAACAGCATGTTGGGAAAAATTTCTGGGCTCGATTCTTTTCGGATTTCTCAGATACGGCTCTGATTAAAAATTCCGGGCTAACAATCTGACTTGCTAAGTTCGGCAGCCTTTGCAAAAGCCGACCGCCGGGGATCTGATTCGGAAACAATTGCCACAGGCCTGCACGTTTCTATCCGATGTTTCTGTGTTGCTTGGAACCTGGGTCTTTAATGAAAATGGTGGCTCACAATTTATTGAAATCGGAGACTCTTTCATCTTCGCCCAGAACGACGCTCAAAATCGCCCGTGATAGATTGGGGTCAGATACACCGGATGGTTCGGTGCACTAATTCCATGAATTTGGTTCACGAGGCTATCAAACCTGAGAAAACCTTGCATTCGTGCATCAAAGGCCTCGTGACGCCTCGTCAGACTATCCGGAAGAACGTTCCAACCAAGTCTACAAGGCCAGGCTCAGACCGATTTTCACAAAACTGGCGGCTGTACGTTTTTGAAGTTTGCTGGGTCGTGCACCACGCCAATCCCTTTGCGACTGCCAGGAAATAAAATTTATTCGATTAGTTTTATCCTGTCGGTTCGTTATTAGCTGGGGTTCTGAAAACATAGAGGAATAAGCAATTGCATTTACAGTCTCACTCTCTTGCAAACCGGGAATCCTCCGGCCGCCGCGCAATCCGCATCAACCCAGCGATGCGCCTCCGGGCCGGTCTTTGTATTCACCAACTATAAGAGAGCGTGCGTATCGTTTCAGATGTTTCTTCAATACCAAAACGCATCCACCAGTCCGTTCCGCTTCAGCTATATGCCCTCTGGCCCAGTAGGCAACGTTAAACGGCTCCTTGTCCATCCACACGTATTGAGTACCGTCCTAAATGGAGTGCCAAGTTTTATTGCGTACCGGAAGTGAAAAAGGCCATCTCTTAATACTACTTACCCTGATCGCTCCGATCCATACCTTCCCGACGGTACCAGCCAGATCTAACAAGTGTAAGTACGGTATTCATTGTTTTTAATAGGTTTACCGAGCACAAACTCATTCTCCCCGTACGACGTCACAGAGGTCAGGTTTCCGCCGGCCTTCAGACATTTTTCCACGGCATCAGCCTTGTTGGCGGCTTCCGATTCAAGCTATTCAAGCTGAGAAACCGGGAGCTTTTCAATTTTACCTTATAGCACTTTTGCGTATATTTGTAGGGCGCCCAGCCATCCGGGCAGTTCGGGTTTGTGAGAACCGGGTTCTAAAATGGGATAACGCCGAAATCGAAGAAAAACTGCGCTTACGACTATTGGCGTCTTGCACACTGCTTCAAAAAGTGTGGAACACGCCACCTGGGCATAAGTACGGGCTGGCTAAATGGCAAGATTACGAATTATTTTTTCAAGATAAGCTGAAATGGCTTTTTTATTTACGAAAATGGCGTGTAAATTGGGCTTTTTCATTGCTTTTTCTTATGAAAATTGTCAAAACCGAGCGGAAAATGACCATTTGTCGAAAATTACTCAAAATCGCGTTGCTAGTTGCTAGAAAACAGCCAAAAATGAGTACAAGTGTCTCCAAAAATTCAGTTTTCTAGCGATAGCTTTTTTGTTTTACAATATTTTGCTTATATAATTTCGCTGCGCGCAGTTTGTGTGAGACCGCATCGTAAAAATTTGGTCCCGGTCCGATTGAAGACGGCCAAATTCCGAGGGGTCGCGCTGTCCTTACCAGCAGCACGTAACAATCTTCTGTTTCCGCCGCCAGATTTGCATCGAAAGCGCCCGTCATTGCGGAGCTGTCGCTCAGCCAAACCCGAGACAACACGGAGCCGTTCAGCACCGCCTAAAGACGAGGCGTAAAATAAACGAGACGTTTTAGATGCCTGACCTTTCCGGCTCCGACCCACATGTTGTGCCCCGGGCTTTCCTTGGCCATGACATCTTAACCCAGCCATCAGTTTTTAGGACCCAAAACGAACGTGTGGCAATGATTTGCATCTCGCTATCATCCGTGATTTTGGCCAGGTGACCGTCGTACTTGTTGGAGCACTCGGCTTCGGCATCCCAGTAGCTTTTGCCTTTCAGCACCTCAATGTAATTTGGTTTCGGTGAATCTCGCTCTTTTCGAAGTCGCATGGAATTGGATCCGGTCCGGTTCGACCCGTTGCCGATCCGTGCGGTTTTATCCGTTGACCTGGGTACCCGGTACCAAAGGGGCCAGCTGGGAAGAGTTTCAAAACGCAGTAATTCATAAAAAACACGTTTTTAGCTATGCCTACCTTGTAGCAACTGTTCGGACCTGTCCACTGTTTCCAACCATCCCCTTCCGGGCATTTGTTCCTTACGCCCGGAGTTGTAGTGGTCGTCGTGGTTGTAGTGGTCGTCACTTTCGTTGGTTTCGGGCCGGGAGCCTAGAGATTCGTGGATTTTTCAGCAATAAAAAAGGTAATATAATCGTTCTACTTCTCTCGCCTCAGACATTCTGTTTTTAACTAGAGATGTTAAGAATCAATTAACAATCAAGATTATTTGCATACAACGGCACAATATTATTTGATTTGGATGGGGCTGAGCGCATGACCAAGTAAAATAATATTATTTGACTCCGCTCGAGAAAGAGCCAAGTAAAATTACTTGATTTACTTGATTTACTTGATCAAACAATAGCTTTCTGGAATTCTGGCATTTTTCGGATGTTAATGAACTTTATGACGTCATCGCATGCTAATTTAATGGTTCGCGGCACGATTGCCTGATTTGCATTGCGAATTTGCACAAAATCAAGTAATTTCGCTGAAAATCAAGTAATTCTCCCAAATCAATCAAGATCAAGTAAATCAAGTAATTTTATTTTACTTGATGCTTATTTAAGCAAACGGCGTAAAATAATTTTATATTTACTTGAAGATTTCAGATGCAAATAAAGTTGTTCAAGCAAATTTACTTGGTCATTATATTACTTGATTCGTAACATCTCTATTTTTAACCATCGGGTTTTAACCCTTACGGGGGTATTATCCGGTTTTGACGGCACGTTCGCAGTCCCATTACATGGGCATGGCTGGCAGAAAAACACTGGTGCTGGCGTCTTGGGTTTTTGGCTCTAAAAGTAAAGTTGGTACCAGTAACCCGGTTTTTAAAGTGAGACATACCTCTTTTTTCGTCGACCTCGGCAGTCTCGCAGACAACCGCTAGTTTCTGGAAGGTAGGTGATTAGGATTTAGTAAAAAATTGATTTTGGTCTCCTTTAATCTCTTGAGATCGATCGCTTTCAGCGATCGCTTTTACGGAACAGACCTACCTTTGCGCTTTCTCGGATCCGACGAGCTTGGCGCCAATCCTAAATTTAATCTCGCATCGAAATAGGAAAGACCAGATCAGGGTTGTTCACCGATGGACCCGGATCGGTAAGGATCCGGATCCAATGCGGATCCGAGGAAAAAAGGGACCGGAAGTAATATTCTAGATTCTGATGCAGGTTCGGTCATGTTAGTCGCAAAAATACATAGCCCAGAGGCAGAAATGATCTTTGAATCTAAGAATTAGCATTTAACTCGGTTGCATGATCCATTTCCTTGGATCCGGATCGGATCGGATCCAGTCCGATCCGAAAATGACCAACCCTGGACCAGATCAAAAAAGCGAAATAAGTAATACCAACTTGGTGCAAACTGTCTTGGCTTGATCTGCCGGCAGTTCCAGCGCAAAATCTAGCTCGCAACGGGAGGAAGCGCTTTTGAAATTTGTTGGACAGCCGGCTGACGAAAGGCCTATTTTTAACGATGTTGATCTTCCGAGGAAAACAAGCCTACCAGCTAGAAACAACAAGGACAGCACCTTAGCCAACATGGCCGTAGGAAACTCCGAGCTTCGGAACTTCTGCTTTTCCGGTTTGTCGCGGCCGACGAAAATACACTTGAGATGCGCATTTCGTATCGGAAGATCCGCATTTTTGCGGCGAATTCAAAGATGGTCGGCGATTTCAAAGCATTTGCAAGGATTCGAAATTTCAACAGTCGGCTAAGAATCATCGGGTAGCTGGACTTGGAAAAAGCGCGAGTTTCCGGTGGAGAGCGTGGCAGAAAGAAGTGCCCAGCGAACGACACAATCGAAATACTGTTTCCCTAATTCGTTCCACGACATTACAATGCTCCATTCAAGCGATTTGCCATCAAAATTACTTGCTTAATTTTACAGGATTCGTGAAGACAATGCTGTGTTTGTATTTACTATCGTCCTAGGCAGAAAGCCATAATTTCTCTTCGCGATGAAACGCTTTATCGCTGCATCTTTATCAAGCAATATCCAAGGAATTTTCACTTATTTCTTCCCTCCATCATGAAGCTTCCGCAGCTTTGCCTCGGTCACGCTTGTGGCCGGCTAAAAAAAATACTCATCGGTGGACTCGAGCCCTCAACCTTCCCACCTTCATGCAAGCGACTGCGGCCTTGGAGTTTTCACAGTGGGCGTTCGACCAATAGCGCGGCCAGCCGGCCTTGACAGATCGCCCATTGCCATACAACTTGAAATCAGGACCATTTTGAGGCTGTGGTATCGAAAATTGCCTGTAGACAGCGACCGTTTGCCAAATTTGGCTTCGTTCCTTCAACCCAGGCCTCCAGTCCCCACGGTGAGTCGTCCAGCCAGCTCCAATTATCTTTCATGTCCTGCAAAAAAAGCCGCGTAAAAATGAACTTGTGGCCATTAAAAGGTCTGCGGTCCCACCCAGCACGGAAAAAGGCGCTGCGTTTGCGCCGACGTGACTGAACTTTTAATACCGGTGATACCTTTTCGGAAAAAAATGTGTTTGGCGCATTAAAGGGCTGGCGCCCACATAAATCTAAGCGTTACGTGAATTCTTGGAACTTTGCCAGATTTCGCTGAATTTGCGCTCCAAACAGCCCTTATCAACAAAACAGCGCACTAATGGGACTCGACCAAGCGCGCAGCTTTGATAACGCGCGCCCGCAGGCTATGTCTTGGGCGGGAAAGGGTCTTTTGGAGTCGCGAGTGCGTAACATCTGCGAGAACTGGCAAGCTTCCAGCAATCCAGGTAACCCTTAGATCCCTGCTTTGCGCTATACCTTTAAACGCATCTTGACTACCATTAACGCGCCGAAATGCAGATGCGGGCTGTTGGCCGGCGCAAACCGGCCAAATACGGCAAGCTTCGCGGAACGTAACGCAGGGCTGATGCTAGCAAGATGCCTTTCAAAGCACACTACAGAAACGTTCGTCGATTGAGCGCTAGGACGTACCAAAGAACCTCCAATCCATATCGCTAGCAGATGTTCCTTGCTGATCAATTCTAGAGTGGCAAGCTGCTGGTATTACCCCCGAAAATCTTACGAGTCAAAAACGCATTTTCCGTGACGTTCGACGGGCAGACGATCGTGCCCCCATCACCGACACAATAATCTTTGGCCTCCATGAAGTTCCTCATAGTGCCGTTTACCTAAAGTTCGACCTCACAATGTTCAACAAAGAGCGGAAGTCCTCAAAAAGCGATCTAGTTTCACGTTCTTTTTTGCGTTTTCTCGCATATCCTGACACTTCGAGCCTTATAACCTAGAGTTCTTGCGCTTCCGCACCTCCCCCCAAAATCTCAACCCGATCGGAAATAACACGGCCAAATGCCGGGGGGTTACGAGACACCCCATAGACCCTTTACCTTGTAGCACATCTTGCTGTGCGGTCCCGCCATCCACCCTTCAGGGCATTCAAGTTTAGGGGCTTCAGGAACCTAAATCAAGCGTTTTATGGCCTAATGTCCAGATCGTACCACATCCAGCGGAAGCTCACACACTGTAAAAGCTTCCGATTCACATGAAATTAGGCCCGCCTTCAGCACACCCTACGAGATGTTTTTATTTGGTTACGATATGCATCGAGATATATCGCATCTGAATAAGCCATCGGAATTGAAAAATACTAGATGCGATATAGATAATCGCATCTGAATTGGAATCGGGCTCATGGAGATATGATACTCTCGGAATGACGTTTTGCATTTCGGATTAAGGGAAATTAGGGCGAGCCATAGGATGCAAATCGAAAATGGATGCAAATCGAAAGCTTGTCTCGGAATTGCCTAAACTTATGTTTTTTTATGCAGATTGACCGTACGGAGCAAGTATTATCACGCGAATGACGGATTTTCTGCTTGGTCCGATATGCAACGGTTATTCGGATATATCGTATCTGGGTATCCGCGGTCGAGTCCGATTTTTGATTTTTACGATTAAGCTATCAATCGAAAGCTCTCGACAAGGCAAAAAATAAGGCGTGTTTTGTTTTATAAGGTTTAATCTGATTCCATCGATATTTTAGGTTTTTCTTAAAAACCGGTATTTTTCAGCAGGAATTTCGCAATTAGCATGCCGATCTTGCATAAATCTGTCGTTTTCATGGTTTTTGGACGTAAAATTAGCGAATAAAAATACATAATAAAAATAAACCCTTTTTGTTTTTTCGTCTTTTCGAGAGTTTTCGAAAGATACCTAAATCAGAAAAATCGGACTCGACCGCGGACCGCTAGGTACGGGTTTTTTTGGGACACCCTGTATGCCAATTGCCGTGAATGCAAAATTCTTAATATCGTATCTGACTGAGTGAGAGAAAAACATCTCTAGTACACCCTCACGTACATCCTCGGTTGCCCAATCAGTAGGCAACATGGCGCATCCAACCTGAACAAAGCGTTGCGGGACAAATCATGCTGACCGTTATGTCCTTCTGGCGCTTGTTTCCTGGTGTCGTTTCCAAGGTTACCTTGGGCTTGCCGTGGATCCACATCTCTGCCGGCATCTATAAATGGATATAGCAACTTCACGGGAGCCGGAAGTGCCAAAAACTTGAGTTGTGGCTCGAAACCCGGAGCCCTGTATATCGAACGGGTTTGCCCATCGAGTGCGAGGAAACGGGCAAACCGCCCTTTAACGATCGTGGCCATACCTTTGTGACGCCCATCCAGATGGAACCTGTATTCTCGGTCGCGTTTGTGAAGGCCTCATGGTCGGCAAGTTTTGGGATCGTGGTTACCAGATGTGAATTCTTGGCGGCGCACTCCAGTTCAGCTTCCCAGAAATTTAGCTTCTTTCCGGTTTTCTAGAAAATACGCTCGGTTTTAGAGCTCAATTTTTAATGGTTTTACCAGGAAGCAGCTTTCCCCAAATTTCTTCCATGGTCTTTCGCAGGTGTCTGCTCTTATATAAGCGATGCCTAGAATGGAGAACACAATGAAGATTCGAAGACAATCGGATCGGTATGGATTGTAGAACACGATTTCTTTGAACATTACCTGCAAACAACCATATAATGCCAAATTTATCCATCGCGCTTTTCTAACGATGAAAGTGAAGTTTTTGGCCTCGCCGGGGCAGATTTTATACAGCGTTCCGCCGGAAAAGACCCCGACCACCATCATTTGTAAGGCAAGAGCAAAAATCAAAAAACAGGTAGACGACTTTGAAGCGGACTGGGACGCCCACGCCTGCGATAATCCACTGTCAAAAATCCTATTTACTCGAAATTACAAAGCCACAAACTACAAAAATTATATTTGCTCCTCCGAACTGTCATGATTCCTGACGTTTAACATTGTCGACTCGGCAAAGCCGATTTGATCCAGAACCGGTAACACGAAGACGTTTTTGAGTGACAACCCAGTTTTGAGCTGACCAAGCCTGCTGGCAAGGAGATGCCAAATCGGCTCGCAAATGCAAGAATAACGCATATTTTCAATGCTATTTGCTTAGATCCCCATATTAAATTAAAAATGAAAAGTATTTTCGCTATAATTTTAAAACTAGCAGGCCGAACGGGCTGAAACTTCCCATAGACATGGGAAATTGGCTTCGCGACCTCTGTGCAAAGTTTCAGCTCCGTAGGTGCCCTCGGGTTCAAATTTTTGGGGGATCTTTTTTTGTGACACCCTGTATAGCGGTTGAATAATGTCTTGACGCCAGGAAACAAGCGCTGACGTGCAATGTTGTAGCTTTAACAAAATCTTTATCGCAGGGTCGTCGGTTACTTCTTGCCGGCATGCAGCTTCCTATCCAAATCTGCTGGAGTGACCTTATTGGGTTTCTGCAAAAACGTTGTGTTGGTTTCTGTTCTAAGTCCAGAACAGGAAATTGCCGCGCACATACCTTCTTGCATACAACTGCCGTTTTCGCGTTTTCACAATTTTCGCCTGTCCAATACCGTCGCCAGTTCGGCTTTATGGATGCGCTCTTGCCATGCAGCTGAAAGACCCTGTTGTTACAGTAGTTCCTTGTTGAAATGCCTGCAGACAGCGACTCGTCTTAGTGTCGGGTGCCTTCCCATCGACCCAGGCCGCCATCCCCCACTCCGAGTCGTCAAGCCAGCTCCATTTGTCTTTCATGTCCTGTAAATCCTCGAATTCCAGCCAGTACATATACAGGGTGTCCCAATAAAAAAAGGTCACGCTGGCATTTCGCCTTTTCAAACCTGTTCGATCAGAAATTTGGAACAGGGCTGCGCAAGGGAATTTAAAATGTTCACAGAAACTTTCAGCCCGATCGGTACAGTGGTTTTCGAGTGGTAACAAAAATACTGTTTTTTCAACCATTTTGCTTCTTTTTCGGCTATCGGGGTTAGCGGGCGTAGCCCGCCAACCCCTTTAGTTTGAGGTACCCCCCCATACGACTCTTTTGGGGTCCTTTTCCGGCTTTAAAAAAGAACCATGCATCCGATCGCCAAACTGAATACACCATCGGAACCGGCGACACTTTTTGCATACTATAAGCTTTTAAAAATTGAAAAATATTGAAATTTCGAATTTTAACAGCCGATTTAAATTGCGTTTCGAGGGGGGGGTCTGCGTTTGTACGTCTGTATGCCCGCAAAACCTTTGTAGTCGGCAAAAAGTGCCTTCCCATTGTCCGTTTGGGCTGAAATTTTCCACATATATCGACTTGATGTAAATGAAGGTGAGGAAGAAGCGTTTTTTTCAAAATAGCTTTTTAAAAAATTTATATTTAATTTTTAAGTTTAAAAGCTAAATTGCGGTCAAAACAAGGGTTAGTGATGTCCGTTTGGGCTGGAATTTTGCTCAAATATGCATTAGACCATGCCAGAACAAGTAAAGAAGAAATTGCATCGAAAGAATGCTTCTCCTCTGAGATATTTTAACTTTAAACCTTCGCCATACGGGGTGCCACCCTCCCCTTTGGCGGCCCCAGTCCCGAGTAAGGGCGGGCGGGTCTAGCTTCCCCAAGACAGGCCTCCAGTCTCCCCGTTGGCCTAGTGGTTAGCACGCTGTACCGGGAAGACTTGGCTCCCGAGTTCGAACCCCACCCGAAGCATGGTTTTTGCCGATTGGCCCCCGTGCATCCTTATGGTTTCTAGTGCCATCACAAAGCGCCGCAGGCAAATTTTTTTTGAAGTTGTGCGTACAAGGGTTCATCTGAATGAGTATTCCTTGGCTTATTTTACGATCTTAACAATAAGATTGAGGCAAAAAGGGCTAAATTCTCTCTAAGGCTAAAAAGAGTCTTTTTAAAAAAGGGCTTTTGGTTTTCGCAAAAAGAGATTAATTCTCGTGGCAACAAAAAGAGCTAAATTCCTTTCAAACTCTTAAAAATGTCACAGAATGTGGGATCAACCAAAAGTTGCTGGCACCTTATTAAAATGGACAGATCTAGTTTCTAGCGGTTTCGGCTTGCAAATAATTTCTGTATTATGATCTATTTGCACTTTCTTGAAATTAATCTGTGGACCTGACCTGTGATCTGGGATGGTACCGAGTTTATTAAGATTTTAAATAGCCAGCAACTTTTTGTTGTTCCCGCATTCTGTGGCATTTTTAAGAGTTTGAAAGGAATTTAGCTCTTTTTGTTGCCACGAGAATTAATCTCTTTTTGCGAAAACCAAAAGCCCTTTTTTAAAAAGACTCTTTTTAGCCTTAGAGAGATCCCTCATTCTTCTTAACATTGGGGATGATCACACCTTGTTAAAATTACTTAAACGACCTATTTCCAAGACGGATTTTACGAAATAATAATTTTTTGGGGTAAAAAAAGGGTCGGCGCTTCATTTTTGTCATACATTACAAGGCTCAATTCCGGCGAAATCCAGGTTAAAAACGTAAAATAAACTTTATTTTTGCTATAACTCGAAAACTACTGTACCGATCGCGCTGAAAGTTTCTGTAAACTTTTTAAATTCCCTTCCGCAGCCCTGTTCCAAATTTCAGGTCGATCGGATTTGAAATGGCAAAATGACCATACAATTTAAACTTATATTATTACACCCTGTATACTCATAGCCAGTAGCATTTGACGCATTTTGCGTCAAAGTGCGTTCACCATGGCGGTGCCATGGTAGCGCTACAGCTTTCTACGCCCGATTTTAAAAACCACCATTTTGAAAATGAGCATTTCGAAAATTGATGAGCTAGAAAAATATTTGGTGAGTTTGGAAATCGTGTTCCTCACTCAACGTTACAAACACACCAGCGATCCCCCAATCCAAACAGCCAGATACTTCTGTTCCGCCATGTAGTCTGGAACAAATCTTATGGGAGGATTGGAACAACAACAGGGGCACGGTTTCTAGTATTGGGCCTTAGCTAGACTCACTGAATAAAAATGCGTTCTCAACCGGCGTCGACGCACAAGCCATGGTACCACCTTCTTTGACACAGTAGTCCTTGGCCTCGATGAAGTTTCGTAGGTCGCTGCTCCCCTGAATGGATAATGAATGTCTGCACGCAGGCGGAATACTGTATTCCGTCGGCCATACTAAAATTTGCTGCTGGTATCCTTGTTTTCTGCTAATTAAGTGGGCACCGAAGTGTCAAAAAAGGAGTTACGGCCGGAAAACCGGAGCCCTGTACGTCGAATGCCTCTGTACGGCCATAGCCCAGGGCGCGGGAAGCGCGTGAATATGAAATTCCCCATCGTCACCTCTAGAATCCCGTTCTCGGCTGTGTCGTAGCCAAATTTCGTGATTAAAACCCCAAAATGACTTTAAATTGAATGAGGATTCCAGAAATCCAGGAATACAGGACCCTACTCGCCAAATCTTAAAGGCTCTATTCGCGGCGTATAACTGCGTCATTATTGGCAAAATTAACAAATTGATACCTTATAGCACATTTGGTCATGCTGGGCAGCCGTCCAACCGGCCTCACATTCGATCGCAGGGGCAAGAGACGTCTAGAAACCGTCTTCTCGTACCCGCCAATCGACTTACAGACCCCGGGGTTAGCTCGCACACCCCTAATTCTGTTGCCTCACACGATTGATGTTTCAGCTGTCTTTGCTTGATCAGGGACCCGTCTGGTCCCACTATGGTCTCTTCGCGTAGAATGAAACACCATTGCGGTGCCGCAAGATCGTCAGGTGTGAGACCGACTTCCCCTTGGATCCAGCGCACTTCCGGCATCTACAGGATACCGTTATTGTTATGATATAGTGGCGTACGTGTGTGCCGCCGATCCAAACGGATTCACGCGAATCTGTCCAGCTTCTGAAGGCGTCTCGGTCTGCCTCCGGGACGATCGTCGTCATGAGATGCGCGTTGGCTTGCGCGCATTGCAGGGCGCTGTCCCAGAAATTCGCGTGTGCTTGCACCTTCTGAACGGCTGAGATAAAAGCAATGGCTTAAGGGCATTTCACCCCCGCCGCCCAGCCCCTATCTCGGCTCCCCGTTATCCTACGGGGTTGTAAGGTATACCAAACTACTGGCTAAAGCAAGACGAACATTTTCGTATACTTTAAAGACCCTTAGAAAGATGGCCGAGCGTCCCCGGGAGTGAGGGACCGACGGTGGACTACTATCCACGTAATTCAGATTACGAATTCATAACTTTTATGCAAAGCGTAATTTCGGCGCAGGGCAAAACGAGAAACCCGGAAACGGTCAGTTGAAGGCCCCTAGGGTAGTTGAGGGCTTTTCGCCAGCACTGGTTAGCACGCTGGGCTATGGGGTGACCCATCGCTGGTTCGACTCCCGCCCGCCAAAATCTGCATTCTAACCAGAAAATTCTCGGCCATTGGGAAAGCATGCCATCGCAACGAATACCTTGTAGCACTTGTCTCCAAACTTTTTCCAACCGCCATCGCACTTGGGGGGTGGAGCGGGTTTGGTGGGCTTGACGGTTGGTGGTTTAGGCTCCTCACCACACCGGATATAAGCAATCCCTAGAAATGCCATATTCGACTAATGAGGAGACGTTTTTGAATGTTGTCCGGAATTCGGGATGGGAGCCAGTTTAACCTGTGCAGAATTTTGCGCTAATTACGAATCAAGTTACTGGTTTTGCCAAACCAAAAACCAAAACGGAAGCAAGAAAACCTATCCAAAGCTTTTTAATTGATTCCGAAACATCTATTTTTTGCGGTTTAGGTTTAAATCGCTCTTAATTTTTTAAAAAAAAAGGTTGTCCCCTAAAAACGATGACAATATTCCGAATCAGCGCAAACTTCTGCACCTGATAACCGTCGTCCCAACCCGAAGTCCGGACAACACTCGAAAAAGTCTCCTTGTGGATCAGTGGTAACATCAGCGATTTATTGAATTGTGGCAACGTAAAATACGATTTTTGAAAACCACCTGCAAGCCACAATATGATCCCAAATTTGTTCATGGCGGTTTTGGACGCGGCTCCGAACAAAGTGGAGCTTTTGGTCCCGGGTCGGCCAGTTTATACAGCAGTCCGCTGGAAAAGACAGTGACCGCCTTCATTTGTAAGGCAAGAGCAAAACATCAAGAAAAGGGTAGACGACTTCGAAGCGGACTGCGACGCCTACGCGTGCGATAACCGATTGTCAAAAAATTACAAAAATCATATTTTATCAAATTTACCAATTACAAACGACAAAACGTATGTGTCCAGTGAAATTCATTTACGAGCTGTGGTTTTGAACACAAACGGCTCAGCAAAGCCTGTGCAATTTGCTTAGTCAATATTTTAATGAAGTTACAGCTATTTTAGGGCGAAAAAGCTCAAAATGGAAAAGCTTAGAATCCTGCAAACACTTGAGAGAAATCATTTCGCTAAACGTAGTTGGCGAAATTTGCGTCAAAAAGATAACCATTTCATTTAGCAAAGATGAAAAATATGCTCATTTGATGTCAAAGATGCGAATTTTTGAAATTTTGCATTTTTCTGCGCAAAATGCGCTAATTACTTTTGATCAAACATTATTTTCTCTCGAATTTTTGCAGGTGTCTAGATTTTTTGTTTGTGAGCATCTTTGCCCTAAAATGCGCGGTAGCTTGTTCAAAAGGTCCCTGACAATTGTGAGCGAATTGGGAAAACTTATTCAAAATCAACGCTAAATATTGCGCATGATAGGCTTGGTCATGCTCAGAACCGAAACTCTAGCTCCAGCTGAACCTTAACCTGCGAATTATTCTGGTGGCTTCAGTATCGGTCGGCATCAGTATCGTCTACCTGGGGGTACGATCCCTCAACGCCTCATGCTTTTTCGTGACCAAATTTCAGCATTCTTGTTCTCGTGGCGAAAATTGCCTAACACGCGAACGTAAAATTTTTCAGCAATGAGCGCGTAAGCGCGAGCGTGTGGGCTCTTCCGCCCCGGTGTTGCAATGCAAAAGTGTCACTGCCTTCCAGTAAATTTGCTAACGACATATTCCATTTATTCACAAACACGTTTCCTTCCTCCTAGGTCTCCTTGCTGGGCGCGATGACTGGTTGTGTTGGCATCGGCGAGCCGCCCTCCGCTCCCTTCGAGGGTCCTCCGGTATACAACGTCGTCGCTCCGGATCCGCCCTGACCATCCATCGTCGGTGCCGCTGGATCTTGGGTTCCGGCGCTGCCGTCACTACCATCCGGGAGCTTGCTGGGTCCCAGCGGGTTCCCGGTACCAGCGGTCCCGTCTTGGCCATTCGGATCCCTGGTGGGAGCGCTGGGGTCTACGGTGGCTCCTGTAGTAATGCCGACCCCCCTGATTTGGCAGACGGCGGCCATGTAGGTGTGATCGTAAAGGTAATCGTTCCACTTGCCCACTCTGCAAGAGGCATGATAAAGCTCAGCTTCCACAAAGGTCGGTACTCATACAGGGTGCGTAAAAAAGTGAAGTTTGCCCTGAATTATCTCGCGAACGAAAACGAATCGGACCATCGTTAATTTGTCAGAATTCTTAAATGTGCTCGCGATGGAGAAATAACACAAGTTGATTTTTAAGATTTTTGACGACGTCGTTAAAAAGTTTTGAACATTTTTGAAAAAGTAAAAAACTTTGAAGACGAAAATCTTGGAACTTTTAATGAGTTAGGGCACATGAAGGGTATCAAAATGAAGCTATCAAAGTGCGCTATCAATGGTAAAGAATATTGATCGGTTTAACTAGCCGTCAATAGGAGCGTTCGGAAAATCTGGACTTGTTGAAAAAAGATCCCAGATAAAATTTCCTTACCATCCGATCTTTCTGATATTTTGTAGTTAGAAATAAATAAATAAGTACTAACTTTTGGCATCAAGATTTCGAAAATCCCGCTCAAAAATTTTTTGTTTTGGCACCCTGCCAAGTGGGCAGAAACTGCAAGTTTTACCTTAATATCCTTAAAATTGTAACATTATTAGCTTTGGCAAGCAGCATTACATTTAATAAACACAAAAAGTTAAGAGGGCGACAATGGGCTTTCTATGGCCAACTCGCAATCGGCCTTTCTCGAAAATTCCGTAATTTCCGAACGCTCTTATTGACGGCTAGTTAAACCAATCGATATTCTTTACCACTCAATTTGTAGCGTACTCCGAGAGCTTAATTTTGATACCCTTTATGCCCCATTAACTCATTAATAGTTCCATGATTTTCGTTTTCAAAGCTTTTTACTTTTTCAAAAATGTTCAAAACTTTTTAACGAAAAAAAACAGCAATATTAAAAAAACTTATGTTATTGCCTGCCCCTCTACCCTCCCCCTCCTACGCGCCTGCATCGATAGAGCGTCCAAAAATACACAGGGTTTCCCAAAAAAAAATTGCTATTCAAGGCTGTTTTTTCCTAAAACTTATCTTGAAGCTTTTCTAAAACCATCGAAAGTGGCTAATTGTGGCGTTTTCCGGATTAAATGACCCATAACGTCCGGCAATGGCTTGTCCGCAAAAACGGTAACCATTGAGCAGATCAGCGCAAAATTCTGCTCAAGATAGGTTTTTGCGCCAAACTCGAAACGGGCAGGTAACTCAAAAACGGTGGCCGATCACCTGTTCGAAAATCATCTGTTCGAAAACCATCTGTTCGAAAATCATCGGTTCGAAAATCATCTGTTCGAAAATCACCTGTTCGAAAATCATCTGTTCGAAAAGTCATCTGTTCGAAAAGTCATCTGTTCGAAAAATCACCTATTCGAAAAAGGTCCCAAATGGGGAAAAATTTTATGGGAAGCTATTGCTATTAAAATGCTGTGTTTCGCATGTTTCGTGGGAAAGTTCGAGGAAAATCTGAAATTGCGCGGCTATATCGAATCCTCCGCCAAGCCAAAGAAGCGCCCGAGGGTGACCATCGACGAGCAGCAGCAGCTCTGCGAGAACTACAGCAAAGAATATATGACCGAGTACCTCGACTTTTTCGAAAAGATGATTTTCGAACCGATGATTTCGAACAGATGTCTTTTCGAACAGATGATTTTTCGAACGGATGATTTTCGAACAGGTGATTTTCGAGCAGATGATTTTCGAACAGGTGATAGGGAATCCTCAAAAACGTCCCCTTGAGAAGCTCAGAGTTGAAAAATTGGATCGGTGCCCTCATAATCCTGCCATACTCGAAATTGATTGAAATTCGGGTTTTTGATCACCATTGTTAGCAATGGGTTCCCGATAAAATCCTAGGTTACATCAAAGCCAAAAAGCAAACGCCGACGGCAAGTTCCGGCTGAGGCACAAGTCACCTACACATGTTTTTCGAGAGTGTACGGGCGTACGAGCATCTAAACCCATAAGCTATGTTTATTTATTTGTTGTGTTCGATACCTCAATACATCCCTCGGTTGGCTCGTCCGCCTGCCAGTTTTCGTAATCGCCCATCCAGCGGCCGCTGTCGTCCCATACAAAGTACTTTTGGCTATTGACTTTAACCTGGAGTAATAGTTTCCAATCCATTTCCGTGGTAGGAATATCTTACAAGGTGAGCGCCGAGAAGAACAGTAGGCGGCCCACTTACTTTCTCAGGAATCACGCGCAGAACCATTTCTAGATGTTGACATAGAGTGACCCAAAAAAACGATGATCTTCTGTACACCCAGGGCCAGGGCCGTAACAAACCCAAATTTCGGGGGGCGACCCCAAAAATGTTTCACCGATATGACTAAAATATACATGGGCGGTCACCCCGGAGGGTCACCCTGGGGGTGACCGCCGCTCACCCCCTGGGGGTGACTGCAATGGCACCCTGGGGTGACCCTCCGGGGTGACAATCCGGTCACCCTATAGATGCAAAGTGCTGCATTCAAATAAACTTCTATGGCAAGATGCCGGTGTTTGGCCGCAAATATCATAAATTTTTCATTTTAATCGAGTATAAAACACCCTTCAAGCGGTAGTGGGAAAGTATAAAACTTAAATTAAAAAAATTTAGCCTTCTGATCGCTGCCTACAGCAAATTCTTGACCGTTGGTCATTTCCATCTAAGTAATTTGCGTGGATAGGGCGATCCGGTTCCGCACCCTCACCCCCACGAAAAATGGAGGGGGTGACACCCCATCGTGCCATTCAGTCACCCCCAGGGGGTGAGCGGCGGTCACCCCCAGGGTGACCCTCTGGGGTGACCGCCCATGTATAGACTAAAACTACAGCGCGGCAGGCAAAATTTTTGAAAACATTGGGTTTATAACACTAAAACTAGTGTTAAAAATAGACAAAAATAGCGCCGTAGGCAAAAAATTTTTTGGAAAAATTAAATCATAAGGGTCCCCCCTTAGGAACTTTTCGGCCTTCGGCCGATTTCGGGGGGGCGGCTCGCCCCCTCGCCCCCTGCTACGGGCCTGTGTACACCAGACATGGCATCACGGCCACCGCGTTGACCGGAAGCCGGATGCAAATTTTTTCACGGCCGGAGCCGGCCGAAAAGCCGCAAGGATTATCCACGGCCGCAGCCGGGCCAGGCCGCAAAAACGAGCTGGGGGCCGCGGCCAGCAGTAAATTGCTTGTTTCCTTTTTACTAATGAAAATCATGCAAATTAGTTTATTATACCCAAATTATTTATACCCGCTGTTTTACAGCCCATCTTGTAAAATTTTGAGCTTTCTTGGGCTGCGTACGAGCTAATTTCCCTCAATTTAGCCCAGCAAAATGACCGGAAGTAGCCGTTAATTACATGAGACCGTGCCTACAAAAATTTGGGGTAAGAGTAAAAGAAGGAAAGGCACCAAAGCTAGCATTTTCAAAATGGTTCTCTTCGAAAACCGCGAGCTTTAATAACCTGGGTTCTAAATAAAGATGAGATGGTCTTTGGCTTCGTTTTCTTGACTTGCAAATCTATTTATGGGTTCTTGATTATGGTTTGCATATTTCCTTGATCGAGCTCCGACGGCGCATATTTTTCTGAGTGAAACCTGCTACCTACCACTTCCGGAACATGATTCTAGCGATTTTTTGAGGACTCTGAAGTTAGGGTATTTTACACATCCTAGAACACTAAAATACGTCGTAATTTTAAAAAATTGCCATTCGACAATTTTTGCTAACAGCTTCGGCATCAGTGTAAAATTCTACACAAGGGATGCTTGGTTTTATTTCAAAAACCGGCCTGAAAAGGGGAGCACGTAAGGTTAAAGGTGCTCCGATCTGCAAAATATGAGCCCTTTCGGGAAGAACCTTATATTTCTGGCGAAAAGGCCAGCGAGCCCGCCCACTTTCGATTGTTGCGCAAAACTGCTGTTGCTTGTTTTTTTCGATGAAAACACTATAATTCTCAACATCTGAGCTCATTTCTAAAATCCTCATTCAATTTTAAATCGTTTTGGTCTTTTAATCACCAATTTGGTCCAGAAACAGCCGAGAACGGGTTCTTGCGGTGACAACGGGGAATTTTAGATTCAGGCGCTTCCCGCCCTCGGGGGTGTGCAAAGGCCTTCGACGTACAGGGCTGCCCATTTCGGGCCGTAACCCAATGCTTGGCATTTCGGGGCCGCTTTAAGGTGGCGGCTCTGTATGGGACCGGGCCATCTTTGTACAGAATTTTTGCTGATCCCAAATCCGCCTCATTTCTCCCGTCTCACAGCGATCACAAGGCTTTTCTCCGCTCGCTACTGATTTTTTGATACCCATTGTTCATTTATTAAAAACCACATGTTCAAACTCATTACTTGCTGGGGTCCTTGCTGGGTGCGATGACAGGTTGTGTAGGTAAAGGCGAGTAGCCGCCATCAGCACCCCCTTTTGAAGGTGCTCCGGGGTTCTGGGTCGGGCCACCATTACCATTCGGACCGTTCGGATCACCGCTTGGGGCAGCAGGGTCGCGTGTTCCGCGCGTACCACCGGTCCAGCTCGGGTCTCCACTCGGAGCAGCAGGATCACGAGTTCCGCCCGTACCACCGGTCCAGCTCGGGTCTCCACTCGGAGCAGCAGGGTCGCGTGTTCCGCCCGTACCACGGGTCCAGGTCGGGTCGCCACTAGGAGCAGCAGGGTCGCGAGTTCCGCCCGTACCACCGGTCCAGCTCGGGTCTCCACTGGGAGCAGCAGGATCACGAGTTCCGCCCGTACCTCCGGTCCAGTTCGGATCACCAGTCGGAGCGCCAGGGTCACGGGTTCCGCTGCTGCCACCATTATTCGTACCCTTGGTGGGCCCGCCGGGGATGCCGTTGGGATCGACAGGTGGTACCGCAGCACCCCCAGCCCTGATCTGGCACACGGCAGCCATAAACGCGTGATTGCACGTGTAGTCGTTCCACTTGCCGACGTAGTCCGAACTGAAAAATTGTTTTCGCTTCGGCAAATGATTTTTTGCGTTCGACGATTACGAGGCTTCACTCTCTCTCTCTCTCTCACTCTATCTCTCTCTCTAGACGAACGCTAAGTGAGACATTGGACCAGTATATCGGGTGTCCAAAAAACCGACCCCCTCTAGCGGCCGCAGAAGTGTCCGATTTTGACAACTAAGGTATCTATCGAAAGATCTCGCAGAGGCGAGAAACCCCTTCCCTTTTCGTTTTTCAATTTAAACTAATTCGCGCGTTGGCACGCGACCTACGGTTTTTGTGCGCAACCTTTTTACCTTTCTAACGCTAGAATTTGCCAATTCTGAGTTCATTTATAAAATCCTCGCTCAATTTTGAATAGCTCTGGTGTTTTAATAATAGAATTTGGCCCAGAAACAGTCGAGAACGTGACTCTAAGGTGATGACCAGGAATTTCGAGCACCCGCGTTATCGGCACAGAATTACCTACCCATAGTCTTGAAGGGTCTTGAAAGGTCGGAGGAACATCTAAAGCGATACCTTGACGCTTTTTTTGATCCCTTACCTCAAGGCATCCCTCATCTCCCTGCTGATTCGGCTCATCCGGCTGCATATTTTTGTAGTCCATCTTTGTCTTGTCATCCCAATGGAAAGTTTTGTTGTCATTTGCGGTCTAGAGAAAATTTTCCCAGCCGTTTTTCAACTACCCGATGCCCTCCCAGAAGAGCTGTAGGGCGCCAAGTGCTTTCCTGCGCGGTTGGGACAGCCTTTCGGACCATGTCTGCCAAAAATTAAAAAGGTTGAAAGTAGGTGCTTACCCAAAATTAGCTGATTCTCCGAGTCCGAGTGGATGGAGGCGAGCGTGGCGCCCATTTCTGCGCATTCCGCTTTGGCATCTTCCACGCGCATGTCGAGGATGACCTCAAGAGACAACGGTTTTGGACTGTTACTGCAAAAATGAGAGGACTACGACGTTTAACACAGATACTTCAAGTAAAATATACCAGGAAACAGCTGCCCGCTTCAATGCCACGCGTCCAATTTGCCGTGCAGCCTGTCTAAATTGATGGATCATCTCTGGCTTTATATGTTCGAATTTAATATAAATACGGAGGACCTTGGAGTATCACAAAACTTTCCCAAACTTTGTTTTAAAACCTTAATTACCTTTGGTATCAGCTTCGCATCAACCCCCAAAGGGATAAGCGCTAGGAGAATAAACCCTAACAAGGGTGGCATTTTCAAAGTGATCGTTTTCGAAAGCGAGGCAACTTTAAAAGCATGGGGCTTAAATAAACATGAACTGATCTTCGGACCCGGTTTTCGGTTATGCGAATATTTATGGAGTTCCGAACTGCATTTCTGAACTGCGACCTCGCCTTCGAGAAGTTTGAGAAGTTCGAAAAAATCGATTCAAAAACGATTTGGAAGGTATATAATTAATGGCTTGCTACTTACCCCAGGAGATCCGGTCCCTCTAGATGGGTGCAGAGTGGCGCCCTGCAGCGATTGGAAAGTATCTGGTTTCTCTCACCTACCGTACTTCCGCTAGCGGTAGTGGAACTGTTTCGCGAGCCGTTAGCTCCAGTGCCTCCCTATAATTTTGTTTCGTAGCTATTCTAGAGGCTGAAAGGGTCTTGAAGACGTGTCAGCTATGGCTACGGTATCGCTTCATGTCACCTAACGCTTTACTTACCGTGCCACCGGTTCCAGGTCGAGTTGAATTCGATCCTGAGCCTGTCATGCCGGTGCCGCCGCTCTAAGAAAAGTGATGCGAAGCCCTTTAGGTGAAGCACCGCGTAAGGTATCCTAAGGCTTACAAAGGTATTGCCTCCTGGCCGTCCGGTTACTCCAGAAGAGTCAATCGTGAACTAAAAACTTGAAAATCTAGAATATTCTTGGACTTACCGAGCCATTGCCTCTCGGATCCGTGGAGCTGCTTGAGTTTAGCTGTAAAACTAGGTACTTGAAGACTTAATGTATCACTGGTTCGAAAGGAGGCAAAAAATATCAAGTGGATAATGACATCTAAAAAAATACCGCAAATTTACAAAGTGCCAACGAGAAGTAGCGATTCCCGCAGCCGATGTCGTTCCATTTCCCCACTGACCTAAAATAAAATGTCATCGATCGAAGACACAAAAAAATACTCCTTGCCGAAACCCTTTGGGCCATCGAGCGGCTGCAGGTACATCTTAAAAACAGTGCGCAAATTTGACGCGAAAATGGGAATTGCCTCGATGCAGTTCTGCTCGCCGTGTGTGTGGATGTTGTCGTCTTCGGCGTTATCCGGTTGCGCCGCATCCCAATTTGTATAGTCCATCGGGCTGCGGTCGATCCATTGGAAAAGTCTGCCCAAGTCTTTGATCTAAACAAAAAGCTGAAAATTACAAAGTGTCCCAATGAAAAAACACCACTTATAACTCGACGGATAAGTCCCGGATTGGAATGGTAGTTATACCATTCGAAAGCCTTTGAAACAGCCAGTTAGCAATAGTCTTGTAAACCATGCTTTTATTTAATTGCGCCATTTTGCAAGCAATTTTGTAAGGTTTTCCCGGGTTGCATACGAGCCGTTTTTTTAACGTTTGCGTACTAACGTTTTTAAATGCATTGTTGCAATTGTGCAATTGCAAACTGAAGACCATGCAATCGCATTGTTTACAATGCAATGCATCTTTTCGGTTTGTAGCAAAATCGCCGTTTCACGGGCTTTCGAATGGGGTAACTATCATTCCGATCCGATACGTCTTCGTCGAGTTAGAGGGATTTCTTTTTCCTGTAGTCATACTAGGCAGGTTTGTATACAAAACACGCCATTAATAATAAAAACTACCGTAAAAAAGCAAATGAAAATATAAGAAGCAAATATCGACTGGTTGTTAAGTCTATTTTTGCTTTTTAATGCACACCTTCTGGTCACAGATTTCTTAAAATTACGGAATCAAACCTTGTAAGCGCCGAGAAGTATCGAATATTTCTGGCTGTGATTCGCCATTTTCTCGACCATTGCCTGGATACTCCAGGCTACAATATCTCATGAATTATAGGATTATAATCAAGACAAGCTTACAAAGAATTCTCGTATTCTCGGCCTCGGAATGAATTGAGGCCAGGTGGCCGCCCATCGTTTTGCACGAGTTGATCGCGTTCTCCTGGGTGGTGTTACGGATGAACTGAAAATTAATGATAGATGGTACCAAACACGAAAGACGAATTATTTTCAAGAAATATTAAAGCAAAAAAGCCGGTTCTTTCGCATTATTGGGAGAATTGTTTTTTCCTAGGAACCATATTTTAAAATATAAATAGCTGAAGTCTTTCTGAGCTGTTTTTACTACTCCTAAGCGTAAAAACCTTTCCATATTTTATTTAAAAATAAAATATCAATTTTAATGGCCGTTTTCATCAAAAATTGAAATTTTTGAAAAAAATTTTGAAGTTTTTAGATAGTTTTTCTAGTTAAACATAGTTTTATTTCGCTAAAAACATTATTAACATATCCTATTCATTTTTTTGGCTCTTCAAGATAAATACATAGAATATTTTACCCCCGATAATGCGAAAGGACCAAAAATCTTGGCCTACCGTATAGCAATCCTTCCCGTCCCTCGTCAGCTTGTAACCATCAAACGGACAATCTTGCTAAAAACTAGCTTCCCTACTAAATTCAACCTTTATGACAAGACTCTCAGTAATCTGAGAAACCTACAGCATCAATGAAACCGATCACAAATTGTAGGAACGGCAGGAAAAATATGGAAAAGACCGTCATGGCTCCAGCCGGAATACGGTAGCTTTCGTGCCGGTTCCATTGTATAAATACTTGGGGCGCTGGCTATTTGTGATTCAGAAGGGACCGGTAATAAACTAATTGGTATACGAGAGAGACTGGAGTCCAAAAAGGAAATTGAGTAAGACTTTATTTTACCCCCAAAATTTTTTAGGTCCTTTTCTTTGACGGGCTATCTGGTTTTTGCTATAACAATTAGCTTTACTTTATTTTTGGCTGTAGTTAAAACAATTTTATATCGTTTAGCCGCTCTATCAAATTCCTTTTAATAAATTTTGTCAAAGCATTGAAAATGCCTAAAATTAGAGAGAAAAATCAAAACCTTTGGGTTTTGCCTGAAAAGCCATAGGAGCATAGCGAAAGCGTTCTACCATTAAAGGTACAATCTGGTCCCACTGTGTCGGTTGCAGGCCTGAAACTAGGCACGGGATAGCAAGCAGGGTTACGGTAGGCGCTCGCCGCGGAGCAAAACCGAACCCTGACCCCTCGACTGGGGCAGCGCCTTAGACCACTAGGCCGAGGGAGAGGCTAGTGAGGGGATGGGGAAGGTGTTAGGAAGGGTCGGAGCGACCCCGTCCGGACAGCCGGCAGGAACCAGGGGTCGCCTGGAATTTTCAACGGGACTATAGTCGACCTTTAAAGACGGCAATTTTACGAACCATCTTCATTGATGAAAACCCGAGTTGTCCAGATAGCATTGTGCTCTTTTTTCCGCGTTGAATCGAATGTCCAAGACCCCAAACAGTATAAATTTATTCGGAGCTATCTGAGCGCCCTTATTTGCTGGGATCTTTCGAAGGTGCAGCCGGTGGAGGAGTTGTCTCAACGCTACCGCCGCTACCACCCCCTTTCGACGGGGCATTCACAGGAGTGGTACCGCCGTTCTAAACCGCCCTTGTAACTTCTTCCTCCGTGCGATGCCATTTGGGCGTTTATTAAATTACCTACCGGGCCTTGATTTGGGTCTTTTGAAGGCGCATTCGGGTCCGGAGTGCCACCGTCGTTCTGAAAATGGTGTAAGCCACCAACAATTTCGGCAGGCATCCTGGCCCTCCTTGCGCAGAATTTTGCGCTGAATCCGGGACTGGCTTGAAAATCTGCAAAACGATCGGATCGAAAAAGTTATGAAGCACTTTAGAGCGGCCAAGCCTAAAATTTGCCGATGTTGGGACTGTTTTGCACTTCAAAGCTTCATAACTTTTTCAATCCCTTTGTTTTGCAGATTTTGAGACCAAGGACTAAATCCGCGAAGAATTCGGTACAAGATAGCTAAATCCCGTACCGAAACTTGAGTGTCCCTAAGACTTGCATGCACTAGGTCAGTAAAAATTTTCCAACATGTTTGCCGTCAAAACAATTGTAATTGTAAAAAATTGTATATTTTGCCGTAACTCTTCGTAACGCTAGTCTGGTCTGCAGTAGCCCGCTTTAAGCTGGCCTGTGCATTCTTAAAGGGGTTCCTAACCGCCCATCAAAGCCCTTTTGGGAGATCTCTTTGATTTCTGGCAAATTGCCAGCGGGCGCTGCGGGACAAGAGCCCTCAGTTTTTTTTGGATTTTTGCGCGAAGTTGTTTTTGCCCGGTTTTTTTTGTGAAAATACTATGATTCGCAAGACCTGAGCTGATTTCTGAAAGCCTCATTCAATTTTGAATAGTGTTGGTGTTTTAATCATCAAATTTAGCACAGAAACAGCCGAGAAGGTGATTTCGAGGTGAAAACAGGCCATTTCAAATTTGCGAGCTTCCCGCGCCCCTAGGTGCACAGGGGTCTCCCACGTACAGGGCTCCGATTTTCGGGCCGTCACTCAATTTTTTGGCAGTTCGTAGCCCCTTTAAAGTATACGTCTTTCCCGTTTATGCTTATGTGTTTCTGGAAGCACCTGTAATCTTCCTTACTGTAGCCCTCTGTTGGTCGAAGTGGAATTTCGGTACGTGACATAGCACATCTTGTTCCGAATTTTTCGCTGATTACGAATCCATTTCGAAAAGTTATGGAACCCCTCTGGTTAAAAACTCACGAATGTTTTTATTACCAAAAATTATTCTGCACATGATGTGCTATGTCACTGACCAAAATTCTATTTCAACCTTGAGAGGCTGCTCGTTACTCTAACACCCACGCTTGCAGGTTTCTGGCAAACCACTATTTCCGGAACGTAGCATTTGTTGTCGTTCCAACGGTCCTCAGGCCACATCTAAAAACGTTTTGAATCTTTTGATAGCCTTAGAATATTTGAACTGTTCCCCAGCCTTTAGAAAAAAGACGCTCTTACGTCAAAACAATTCTCCAGATTCAATGCGTTGTCCATGTACTCGTCGTTGAAACGCTTGTAATCCATCTCGGACCCATCGGTCCATTTGAAGTCATATTTCCCGCTGCCGAACTGTGATAAGAAGCGAATCGTTTTAAAGTAGCCAAGAAATCAAAATGAGCATATCAGCCCGAACAAATGAAAAAAAGCATTTTTTGATTGAATAAAGAAGGATGGATCAAAATCCATGGCAGCACATAGGATAGCGGGGGAAGCCAAATTTTTGTGATTTTCTGTATTTCCAAAACGCCAATCGAGAGGACGTCGAAAAATATACTACGATGAAGATTTTCAGCACGAAAAAATGTAATATAAAGCTTTTTAGCATAAAAACTATAGTTGAAAGCTATGGGCAGCACCGAGGAAACGCGATGTTTTGAAAATTTTCGATATTTTCGAAAACCCATTCGATAGAGGGCTGAAAAATTTATTAAGAGCTTTTTTTATCCCGAAAAACCATATTTGAACTATTTTTGTTATAAAAATATTGAGTGCCCCTCCACCGTTTATCCTCGGTGTACCGAGCACTCTGCGTGCGCTTTCCGTCCTTATAACGCGAGAAATGCTCTTTTTCACTCACCCGTGTCGCCCCGAGTCGCACATGTTCGCCGTCACGGGTAAATGCTATAATGTTCATTGGAATTTTCACCGATTTAGCTGGCGCTATTCGTGCAACGAACGGACGGCACACGAATGTGCACGGGCCCACCGTAAACAGCCGCATTTTCCGCCTCCGAATGAATGACGGGTAATCCGGCCCCAAGTGCATCGCACGCAGCCTTCGATGCATCGTATTTCATTAGGCCCGGAAGGCTCTATAAAAATTGTCGTTGTTGTCGTGTGGCAGCTCCGCGTCTTCCGTTTGCCAAATAAACTTTTATCGTGTCTTTGATACGTTGCACTTCCAGCTCAAGCCCTACAGGATGTCCCAACTCCCCCCCCCCCTGGCGGTCAGCACTGATGTCCGAATTTTACGATCTAGGTAGCTATCGAAACCTCTCTCGACAAGCTGAGGAGCTATGTTTATCGGATTTTGAAATCCCAGGAATTTTTCGCTCGATTTTCGGCAATTTTATGCCAAAGTTTCACATTTTTTTACAAAATAGCTCATATTAATTGGGTCAACGCCATCCTAACTGTGTTTTCTCAAATGGTCATCAAAATACTGTCGTTGGGCAGTCGCAAGGTTTGAAAATTGATAAATTGTGATTTTGTAAATAAACCCTTCCCTCCGGGGAGGCGTCCGAAATTTGGTAGTTTTTACAAAAAGGTTAGTAATTCTAACAAAAATTTGAGGAATTTCGAAATTCGGAAAGAAACATATCTCCTCGGTTCGTCGCGAGCTTTCGATAGGTGCCTAAATCGTAAAATCGGCTAACACTGCGGACCGCTTGCACCGCAGTCGGGCCAGTCGGGCCAAAAAGCACGGGTCGGACCGCACAAGACCGACTTTTTCGGTGAAACCCTACAACAAAAAAACACTTCACGGTGTAGGACCATAAAAAGGACCATCTATAAAAATATCTACAAACCTTGTAGCATTTCTCCGTGCCCTGGCCCAACGTCCACCCATCTTCGCAACTCAGCTAAGAGCTCAAGGCCGTTTGCAAATTTTGAAAGCCATTCCAAACCTCGGCAGATACGGTAAACCCGACGGCAAAGAGCAAGAGAATGTTTTTGACCATGTTTGGATCAAGTACGGGCACCTGGCCCTATATCTCGGCGTTTGCCTTCTTTGACTTTCATGGGTTTGTCTTGTTCAAATTTATGCGGTGCGGTGCGACCGAAGTTCGCTAGAACGCCCACTTCTTTCAGGCTTTGACGCCTTTAAAGGGATACCTAATGTTTTGCCGGTATTCCGGGCAGTACAAATGACGCGCGAATTTTGTGCGCCAAGGGGCCCATTGCCGCACAGAAATTTGACACCTTTCCCTCTTGTGGAGTGCCCCATCCCACTCCATGGCTTGCCACTATGGCCTAAGAATAGTATCCATGCCTACAAAGCTGGGACCCGGGTTCGACCCCCACACGCGAAATGTTTTTCGAAAAGTTTCGAGCTTGAAAGGTTGGGCGTCCCTTTAAACGCAGCCATTACAACTACTGTGGTTTGAAGCAACAGTGATTTTTTGCGACTTGGGTGAATCCGAGCGAGCTAAACGGCACTGTTTGCTTCCGTAAAAATTCTATTTTAGGCCGATCGGGTAGGCGTACCTTTCTTACTACAGTTGTGTAGTTACTTGTGTTCAAGGTGACGTCAAAATTGGTTTAGTGAAGTTTTATAAACGCTCTTATTTGCTGGGATCCTTCGAGGGCGGAACCGGCACAGGAGTGGTTCCAGCACCACCGCCACCACCACCCCCTTTCGACGGGCCATTCACAGGAGTGGTACCACCGTTCTAAACATTTACCATCAGTACAATTCGATGGCATGCTATTTCGCTATGAATCCGATAACATATGTGACGTTCTCTCTTTAAAGGGATAAGCGCAAGCGGCAGTCCACGTGTTACGTGGATGCCTGGAACTTTGCCAGATTTGGCTGGATTTCCGCTTATCAGCATCCCAATCTGCGCTTATCAGCAAATCAGCGCACTAATGAGGAGATTCGGGGCGCGCAGATGTGATAACTTTTTATGTTTAGGGCCGGAAAGGGGGCCTTTTTTGGAGCACAGCTGCGCAACATCTGTGGAATTCCCGGAGCCTAAGTAACACTTAGGTTTCTGCTTGCGCTATCCCTTTAACAGATTCCGTACCGGCCCAGCATTTGGATCTTTCGATGGCGCATTCGGGTCGGGAGTGCCGCCGCTCTAGAAATCTGGCCGTATTTGGACTCAAGGTCGTAGGATCCTCCGCGTTTGACTTTTTTACAGTTCTTCGAATAGCTCTAGTTCAGGTTTTTTACCGCGAGCCCTTACCGCCTGTCCTGAATTAGGATCTTGTGATGGCGCAAGCCAGGTCCAAAGTCGCGCCGGTCTAAAATCAATGGATATTTCAGTCTAATGTTTTGCGAATTTGACATTAAGCATTTTTTTAATTGTTTGGGTAAGGCATTGATTAACACTGAGCCCTTACCACCTGTCCGGGATTCGTACCTTTCGATGGTCCAACCGGGCCCGAAGTAGCACCAGTCTGAAATGTGGCTTGATTTTGCAAAACTGCCTTTACAATTATTGGTTTCATCGATCCAAATAGCTAAAAGAACGATGGCTAGAATCTAAGTAAACAAGGACGAAAACTGACCACTCCGTTATTCGGTCCCTGCTTCGGCGGCGAGATCTGAAATGATGGTTCTGGATCGACCGCGACAAAGAAAATTGTCATCAACGTCCGAAGAGATAGATTACCGTCCACTTGCATAGCGCTAATGCATAGCGGTCGGGCTGACAAACATGCTGTTCCCATTGCCCGACTAGCGGCCTTGAAGTTCGAGATTGAATGCTGCCACTAGTTTGCCAAATCTTACTTTGCCTCCGTGTCATCTTGTCTTGACAGGCGCAACTAAAAGAAGTGTTTGTATGATATTCGAGAATGATCTTACATGTATGCAATTCTCCTGTCCGGGCACCGGGTCGTGGTTTACATTTTGAGCATCCTTGTCGTAGTTGTTGGGCTCAAGGTCCATCCAATTCGTGTAGTCAACTGGCGTGCCATCATCCCAGGTGAACTCCTCTTCCATGCCTTTGGTCTGAAAAGGGTGATAAACTGCCAAAAAATCCGACCTAACTATTTTTTTTTCGGAATTGTTTGCATACTTTTCACGCGCTCTATCGCATCGAACTCAAGACATTTTGAACAAAATAGCTAAAATGGCGAAACCTGCT